TGCTAATTTTAGCGCGGAAGCAGACACAAACGGAGCACCTGGCTCCGTGGTGGGGGATTGGCAGAAACTAGCGTCGGCCCCGGCCAGCAGTACGTTGTTGCGTGGTGCGAGGTCCCTCCTTCCTGCCTCGGCCTGCGTGGTGCCAGTGGGGGCCGGTGGGGCGTCATCTTTGTGTGTGCTCCGAGGTGGAGTCGGAATACCCCCGCCGGATCCCCATAGACCAGGCCAGCCTGGGCAGCTCCAGGGCCGATGCGCCCCGCGGAAGGCCCTTGCGAACACTTTGCAACCTGAGTGATTGGCCCTTTCTCCCAGGTGAAAGTACACCAACTACGGGGCAAATAAGGTCAGAAGGGTAGCCGGCGTCGCTCCCGCTCGGCAGAGCAGCGTGTGGCCCCAAACTTTTGACGGGCTGGATCCGGCTGAAATTTAATAATACAGCCTCAGCTCGGCCTGCTCGGCCCTCAGAGGGTAAGGGGCACCGGCGGATTAGCCGGTGGTGGCTTTTGCTGCTCTCGACTAGAAGCACCGACGAGAGCCACCCTTGGGGTTCGTCCACGTATTCCGTAACGTGTTCTAGCTCTCTTGCACTCACTGGCCGACTATGAGCAGCAACAAGGACAAGGAAAAGTTACGTGGACGACACCTTACGTCCCAGCGCCCCGGGTTGGGCCTCGAGGTGAGCCCCGAGGCGGGCACGGAGCTGGGCACCAGACTGTAGCTGCTGGCCTTGTGGCCTCGCGCGCAGCGAGCGGCCTATGAATGCAAATCCACCCCGCCCCCTCCCCCGCCCCCGCCCCGCCTGCCCCGCCCGGCCCGCCCTGCCGTTGTCCAAGCCTCGGCGCGCACACAGCCCACACAGGGCTTCACTTCGATTCGTTCCACGAAACGAAAGCTGTAACTCGGGGTGGACCACCCCTTCACTGCACGCCCCCTACCGCCCCCTTGTCACACCACAACCAAGTTACGTGTTCGGTACTGTCTAGTGCCGCGTCGCAACAAAAAGGTTTCATGTCGAGGTTTTTTGGTGTCGGACAGTTGCTGCCTTTTGCCAGGCCGCGCGGTTTGAGAGCGTGGGTCTGCCGGGGTCTCCGGTGCCGCCAAACACGAGTCCCTCCTCTCCACTCGCGTCACAGGCCTCCGCTCCCCTCGGCCCCCGGGACAAAACCTCAGCCACCGGCTGCCGCTCTCCGCTTCCCCTCCGCTGCCCTTTGGTGGAAGCAGAGGTCACGCGCTCGACCTGTGCGGGGCCCGGCCGGCCCGGCGGTAGGCCCGGCGGTAGGCCCAGCAACGCGCGAACGGAAACCAATAGTTTGACACAAAACTTGTTTAAACTGGTGCTTCGCGCGCGTTCGCGCGTCGTGCGTGACAATCAAGCGAGCGTGCCACGCGTGCGCTCGCCGACCACGCCGTGGATCAGCCACCCGGCGCGCGCACGCATTCCAGTGGGGGAATCACTCTCCGCGCACCTGCCCGCTCGCCGCCATGATTGAATCATGAGTCGCTCGCCGCACGGAGCCCGCCATTCGCCATCCGTTCTGGCCAGAAAATAAAATGTCAGCGCGTGGCGGACGGACCGACGGGGCGTTTATTGGAACCGATCCGCCTCGTGGCTCGTGAAACGCAAAGGCAGTGGCAACGGCCATTCACACGGCGGGGTCCGCTCTAAAATATCCGTTACCACCACGAAATTCTCGGTGCGATTCTCAGCACCTGAATCTAAAGAACTCCGGCATCGGATCTCGACTCCGCCACTCAGCTGGCACTCCGCGCCTCGTGCCCGCCCCGGCGCGAACGCATTCGCCGACTAGTCCATATTGGTTTATTCCTCTTCCGGAGAACATTGCCGCGAACTTTGAGGCGCCGCGGCGGCCCGCCCCTTTCAAACTCCACTTATTACATCCGGGTGCCGGGCCGGCCCGGGGCGAGGCCGCAGCGAGGGACGATCCCCGGGTCGTGGCGCCGGCCGCCGCGCTCTGCTGACGCGCCCGGAGAGGCCATGCTTCTGTTTAATTCGTAATTCGTGGATAAATTTTTACCGTTGGAGTGTTGGCCGCTTCTCCGTCGGCGGGCGGGCTCCAACGCGGACTGCCGTTCCGATCGGCTCTAGCCGCCTCCGCTCCGCCTGGCTCCCCTTCCGCTCATTTTGCTCGTCTAGACGAAATGCCAGCCCCGCAGCCCCGACCTTTCCTCCCGCCGGGTCAAACGGCAGTAAATCGGGGTGGCGGCGCCGAGACCCCTCCGCCTGCCGTCGGTCTGTGTTGCCAGATAAGTGGGCAAAAAAGCTCCAGTGCTGAAGGGTGCACGGTAAAACCAACGCCTTGGATTCCCAGAAATGTCGGTCAGCTCTCAAGAAAATCTCCTTGGGGTTCTCAGGAACTTTGGTCAATCCCCAGGAGATGGTTTTACCGTGCGCATCTCGTGAAATGTTGCCTACATGTGGTGCAACACGGCTGTCGGCGACTCGGTGAGCTCACGGGGAGCGCCTGCGATGGCCGGGTAGGCAACCCAGTGGGCAAGCGTGCACGGCGGGCGGGCCTGCCGCCAGGCGCTCCCCCGCCCCACCGCCACTGGCTGGCGGTCTGGTTGCTCCGCGCTGCGCAGCGCTGCGTCGGTGCTTCGCGCAGTGTTTTGCATTTGCCTGGAAATGTGCCGCCGTTACGCAAAACCTGGCGCAGCAAGGCGCTGGGCGTCGGGGAAGATTTGTTTCGGCGTCGCTCCACCCCCAGCAGAAGATCCGAGTTCCCCCTCACAGCCTCCCACCGGCTAAACGGCAGAGACTGGTCTGAATTCAATTATAGGACGGCTGGGAGCGCAGACAGCGCTAATGGGCCGGCTCCCCCGAGAAAAAGAAAGGAAATTAATCGAATGATGTGATTTATTTTTCGCTTATTAAGAGGTCCCCCGTTTGGCTATATGGCGAATGGAGATTCCAAGACAAGGCGTGTGCTGTCGGCGTGCTGCGCCCCGCTCGGCCGGCCTTGGTGGTGCAAACGGCGCACCCACGCGACGGTCGCTCCGTAGAGCGATTCCGTAGCGCTTAGTTCTGTCTCTCACATACCCCTTCGGAGCGAACTAGGAGTGTGAGAGAGACAGCGTCGAAACCACTGCACAAAGGCGTCCGTTCGAGCAGCCTCTGCCATAGACACAAGGGTAGAAAAACATGACGCTGCCTTAAGCAGTGAACGCGAGACGATCTACGGTGTAGGCGAAACGGCACAAGAAACGGAAGTCAAGTGTCGGGACTACGCAAACTACCCGGCATGACGCACCTCTGGTATGTCCTCTTCTTTTTTCGGCACCGCTGTCGACTCCACGCGTGCTCGGGTTTTCTGTGTTCGTGCCGCGGCCGCGTTGGGGGCGTGCGCCAGGGCGTGGTGTTAATGGCCATGCCACCCTCCGTCCCGGCGTCGCCCGGCGCGCGTCTCAAGCGTTCCTGCCGGTTGCTGCGGCATCCTTTTACACGGCGCAAGGCTGCTCGGCGCCACACCCAAGGCCCCGCCTCGCCGCGGGGCTGCTCCGAACCCGCAGGCAAGAAGCCGCGCTGGGGGCGCCTGTTGGCGATGCAGCGTGTGTGGGAATTTGCGAAGGAGATTGAGAGAGCGAGAAATAGAGGCGCGGGGCTCTGGCGCTATCGACCCGCACCGGGATGTAGGGCGGCACGCGGCGTGTCAGCTGAGCGCAGACCGGCCTGGGCCTGGCTCGTTGCCGGCGGGCCGGTCCCAAGCCACCCCCTTCCGCCGCCTGTTTAGCCCACCGCTTACCTGCCAAGAAAGGGCGTGAGTTCGAAACCCGGTCCGAACTTTGTTTCCGAGATGGTGGTGCTACCCGCAAGCGCAGTCGGGGCGTGCGGGGCCCTGTGGTGGCCGCTGCGCCGCGGCGTCCCATTGTCCGCCGGCTTTGTCCCTTTGTGCTGCTGTTGCACTGCGACCACTCGCTTATGGAAGCAGCCTCTTTGCATTCACGGCGCCCTCCGCGCAACAGCGCCGCCGTTGTTGTTGCCGACGGCTGGCTTATTTGGGATTTCACATCGTGGCCGCCGTAATTGCGGCGCTCGTCTGCGGTCTCGGAAACAAAACTTTTATTTTTTTAGGAACATGTATGCCCATTCTCGGGTCGACAGCATAGCGAATCTGTGCAACGCCGCTTGTCACGCTTTCTCTTTGTTGCTCCAATGGAATGCTCTACGAGTGCAAGAGAGGGGAAGTGCTGAAACCACTGTTCCGTTCCCCGGGCGGTAGCTCAACAGCGGTAGAGGAAAGGTGCCCCATAGACCGCTGGCCTTTGAAGTGTTGGTTCACCCTTCCATCCTCCCCAACTAGAACAATCTCTGGACGTCCAAGGAAGGAATATGTACCCACACGGGACGGGGCGCCGCGCCACACGCCCGTTGAGTTGCCTAGGCGACGAGGCCGGGTTACAGTGCCAGTGGCCGTGAGGGCCCATTGGGGGGTGGTGCCTTGCCGGCCGGCGCGGCGGCAGCGACGGTGTAAGCCGGCCCTCGAAATAAAGATCGACGGGCGGCCGCTGCAGGCCTAGGAATAGCCCACGACCGTCGGAACGCGATTCGGCCCGCGCCAGCCATCGGTCACTCCCAATCTGCTAATCCACCGCCCACCGCCGATTGCCGCCTTGCCGGGGAAAGCCTTGATAGCGACTTGCTCCTAATGGCGAGGCAGTAAAACAAGCCGCGTCGTTTGACTTTTGTTCCTTTCGAGGACCGCTGCCAACTCGATGGCCCCCTGCAGGCACTCGGGGTGGGAGGGCTCCTGTCGAGGTGGTAAATCCCCCCGATGTTTCGTTCCGACCTTCTTTTTTCGCTTTTCGCTGCCGAGAGGGGGGTTGTTAATGACTGCCTGTGGTCGGGTAGAGAGCTCTGTGTGGTCTGGGTGCTGACCCTGTGGCTGAGCGGTGGCACAGAAAGATAAAGCAATGTCCTCTCCGTTTCGCGGACTCATCATGCAAGCGACCTCCTCTAATTCCACTCGCTTGTTTTGTTGCAGGATTCCTGTCCTGGGACTCATCTGACTGCCACGTTGACCTGGAGAAAGAGCTATCAACACTTAGCAGTCTTTCACCGAAAGGAGAAGAGGCGCGAAGTGGTTCGTACCAGGAAGCTAACAGAGGATTGGGCCAATAAAAAGAAACCTCTAAAACTTTTGTTTCTGTTTGTTTAGGAGAACGTCTTGTTCAGTATGCTTCTGAAAGTCTTGTAACAGAGGTTCTTGTGCACCCACAAGTAAACACATTGCTTCAATGTGTGCGAAACCTGCTATCAAGCTTCACCAGACATCGCCACATTCTGCATGCCGGCTATACCTTCGCTGGCACAGGATCTTGGATTCTGCAGGTGCGCAACAGAAAAACGTGGAATTTGCGGTCCTGAGCCGGGGTCTTGTAACGACAGTTATTAATTAACAGTCTTTTCACCTTGCTTTTCGTGTAACTTCCCTTAATATGTTGCAGGACGGAACTTTCTCGTACGCTGATCTGGCAGAGCTTTTCCACGAGCCGGATGTTCAGCGTGTTCTGCGTGCCTATGAAAACAGCGTGTCCGTGGACGTTCATTGCTGTGCAGAAGGGCCCTGGCGAGACGCTGCTGCGTCCGCACAACCATTCACTCGGTACTGTAAAGTGAGGGTTAACCCGCCCGACGTCCTTACGGCGGGAAGTGCGGCCATTTCTGGATTTATTGGTAAAATCGTTGTTTTCATAAGAAATGTTGTAGCGCCTTATCCTTGCCCATTTGCATGTATAACATAGTTTATGGCTTCCAGATTATGTCAGTGACTTGGTTCAGCCTGCAATGCTGGAGTCGTTGCTTGAACCCAGTGATGTGGTTGGAAACATTCGATTCAGTCATCCAACGCTCTACGTTTTTCCTGGAGGACAGGGAGATGCAGCTCTCTTTGGGATTAATGGTTTTAATATGCTGGTAATTTTTTTCGCTTCATTTACAATTAATGATATACATTTTTATATTCTATAAGTAATTTCTGGCAGCCTAGTTCGTCTGATAACAACTCGGAACCTTCCAGGTTGATGGGGGATTTGGCAGAAAATCCTGTTTTTGGGATTTTGCACGACACTTAGACCGACTTGATGCAGTTCTACTTACGCGCCTTAACAACGCCAACGCACATGGTCTTGCATCCCTTCTTCGTAGAAAACGCAATGCACATGTGTACCCTCAAATAGGTCACTTCTTCTGCAACTTGCAGGTATGCGTATTATGAAAAAATAAAGGATTAACATATCTACCTGCCTTTTGAAATCATGTCCTTGGGCTCATTTTCTTAATTAATTTTATTCTAAGTGTCTCAATTTTCAAAACTTATTAGTTTTAGCTATTAAAAAACCTTCACATGCATGTAAATGCCCTTGACAAAGACCATTGGACCGTTTTTTAAAATAAATTTGTTTCTGTTCGTTTAGGATCGCAAAGTGCTTACGTCCCCGGACGGGGACAAAGATCGTGATAATTTACTTGTAAGCCTAGTTGAAGAGGGACAAGAAATGGTACTGAACTTACGCCATCTTCAGTTGAAACCTTCTCCTTGCTACCGTGACTCAGTTGTAGAGCCAGTCAACTTGTACCACAAAGTAAGTTTCAAAGCAACAATTGAACTTTTATTCCAGTTATCACCTTTAAATTATTTATATTAAACCTGCAGAATTTGTATTGGCTTATTGTTTTTGTATCGTTTCAGGTTGGCCATGGAAAACTAGATATGTATGTAGTAAGTCCAGCACGGGATTCAAGAGAAGTGAAAGAGTTTTTGGCGAAATGGAGTGCCAATGATGCTAAGCTGTTCGCTAGCCATTTGAGGAAAGATTCTAAGGACTTCCAGTTTCCTCTTCAGAACATGGTGTCAATATGTGCCTTACTAGTCTGGCAACCCGCCAACCCACAGGATAACATCACAAGAATCCTTTTTCCAGGAAGTACCCCTCAGGTCAAGATATTTGAAGGACTCGACAAAATTCGGCACCTCGAGTACTTAAAGCATCCAAGATGCACGGCAAAATCTTTGTCACCATCTTCTTCAATTGTGGGGTTAAGTAGTAGGACACAAACAAAAAAATACACTCCAACAGTCCTTGACAAAATTACGCCCGGAGAACAACAAAAGACGTACTCGCGAACTGTTCCTACAACAGAATCAAGCAAGCATCACGTGCTCAAGACGGCTACAATTCCCATAACAGGTGGTGCTACAGAAACTAAGGTGTACCGGGCTACCACAACCACTACCGTTTCTGCCACGACGGTCGCCAGTGCCAAAGTTTCGACCAAAAAGTCAGAGAAATCTATTAAAATAGAATCTGAAAAACAAGATAAAAATGAAAAATCTGAAAAAGAAAATGTCATGGCAGAAAATAAGCAAGAAAATGGGGATATTTCAAAAGAGGAAAAGGCAAAACAGACAGAGGTTGTAAAAGTTAAATCAAAAGTGCGCCAAACATCTCACTCAAGAGAAAGAAAAGCGACAAGGGTGCAACCTTCGGATAGAAAAGACATCGATAAAAAAGAGAAAAAAGAAGATAAAACGTCTCCTACCACACCAAAGAAGAGCCTAGAAGGAAGAATCAATGGCGTATCCACTCGATCAGAGAGTGCAAGTCGAGTGCAGACCCGATCAAGCAGCAAGACGCGTCGTTCCCCATCCGCAACTCCTGCAAAGAGCGCAAAGGAAGCAAATAACAGAAAAGTTGCCGAATCAAAAGTACAATCAACAAGGTCCGTGTCTGTGACCCGCACTTCAACAAAAACATCGAAAAAAGAAGAAAGTTCAGAAACTCATGTTAAAACCAAATCAGTAGAAAAGCCTGTTACAAGGCGTGTTAAACCAACGTCGCCCAGCAAGGTGGCTAAAGTGCAAAGCTCACCAAGTAAAGGCACTCAAACCAAGCCAGTCAGTGCCAAAACTGAGCGGCCGGCCCCGATTCGAAAATCAAGGGCTAGTGAGAAGGACGAAGCAGAAAAGAAAATTATAAGCATGTCAACGGTCAACACTAATATTAAAGAAGCACTTGTGCTTGAATCCAATAAACCTTCGAACGAAGAAGAGCAAGAAAATAAAAATGCTGAGGAAAGTGGAAATGGTATTGTTATTGAAGTAACAGAACTAGACACAAATGTTGCAAATGAAGAAAAACAGGAGCAAGCCGATGAAAATTTATCAAGTACTCAAATTATTAGTGGGGAAGAAGACGAGAAAAAGTCCGAAGATGAAGGGCGGTCACAAGGGGCAGAAGCTGAAGTAGAGGAAGAAGATGAAGACGAGTATTTAGTTATTGAAAAGGAAGAACCTTACACAGAGGAGTCGTTCCAAGATCAAGTCAGTGCTGAATCGCACGTTCCAGCAGGTTCAGATGATAGGGGTCTGTCAGATGAAGACGGCGAGGATGAGAAGCTAAGGAGAGACACGCAGGAATCGGAAAAAGTAAAAGAAGTCGAAAAACCACGCAAGAAATCAGAAGCCAAATTAACCATGCAACTGACTGACAAAGAGCACGCTGAACAAATTTTGAAATCAAGTACTGAAGAATGCACTTCACTTGAAAGGAAATTCAGCTTAAAAACCGATACCACTCATTTAGTTGTTGATGACGTAATAAGTCCTGAGAACAAAGACAAAATAGTTGAGGAAGTACAAGATATTATTTTGTCAGCCACCGAAATTGTATCAAAGAAAGAAGAAAAGTTGTCACCAGAGGGGGAAAAGCGGGAGGCAGAAGATTCTGATGAAAAGGAAAAGAATCTTGTAGACGAAGAATTAAAATGTGTCGATGGAAAGCAAGCTTCAAGTGAACTGAAGGAAGAAAGTCATCCCGACGAAAAAATGTCTACTACCGCTGAATCAGGAGCAACCACAGCGCCGACCTTACCGGAAGATGAACGCATTCCATTAGATGATATAAAAGAAGTCGTAGAAGAAAAGCATGTATTGGAAGATACAAAAGAAAAAGACCGAGAATCGCCTAAGGATGACGTTGGACACGAACAATCCGTCCCTGATAGACCAGTGCATTTTGAAATCCGTGGGTCCGCTGTTTCTGCCCTGCATCGGGACATGATAAAAACTCCAGATGAAGTGGCTGATTTGCCTGTAGATGAAGAATACGACCTTATGTTCAATAAAGAAGAACAGTCAAGGAGTCCGGTCGATGTCCAGCATTTACCTGAAAAGGACACGCCACGTGAGGAAATGAATCAGCAGGGTGAAAAGTCTTCACCAGACGTGCTCAAGGAAGTAAAACAGGAACAAGAAGAAATAGAACAACTTAAGGACATACAAGAAAAACTGGATGCAGAAGCTAACCTTGATGGAAATATCGTTCCTCAAAATACCTCAGAAACAGTGGTTGCTGCAGAAAAAGTGGATTCTATTCGAAACAATTTGTCAACAGATGTCGAAGCGAATGATCCGAATTCTGATATTGTTATTTCTTCTGAAAAAAGTGTTTCCAAGAGTGATGTAAATGAAAAGGACATAGATACTAAGAAAGAAAAGGAAGTTCACATCAAAGAAGAACCGTCAAAGATAGAAGCGTCTGTTACTGGTCTGCAAGTTGTACAAAAAGATGAGATTTGTGTGAGCCTAGAGGAATTGAGGATATTAGGACACCAAGTTGAAGATTTGAAACCATCCGAAATAAAACGGGATGATGCAAAGTATGTGGAAATAGAGCCAAGCAATTTACGCGAAGCTGACATCTGCGTGGACGTGGGTGCAAAACCGATGTCAATATCAATCTCTTCATTTGATGAAAAGGAAACCATGATTGAAAAAGATGTGGTTTCTACTAGTTTTAATCAGGATATTCACGGTGCACTTGCAATGGTAGCAATGCCAGAACCTCTCGAGGTGGTTCAAGAAGATGTCTACCTGGAATCCAGCGTCGAAGAAGAACCAGTCTACGGCCAAACAGATTCACCTGCGTTGCCCGAGTACGTTACTGTCACTCCAGACTCGTCCCCAGAAGGATCTAAGTCGCCGTCACGGAAAAAGTCAACAGGTTCTGACAAAAATGAAGGTCGTAAATCAAGTCTTGCCAAAGGAGACAGTCGGAAATCAAGTATAGACAAGATAGACAGCCGGAAGTCAAGCATAGTCGAAAAAGAGACAGAAATGCAAACGCAAGAATTAGCTGCAAATCTGCTTCTTAGTGAAAAGTTAAAGATGGACACAGCAACTAAAGTTGCGTCACCTGAGGAACAAGGCAACAAAATATTGATAGCAGATTCAGCAGATTTGCAGGAAAATATTCAACCTTCAACTACTACCACAAAGGCCGAAAGCACTGATCTAACTGGATCGTCTACCAAAGAGGAAAGAACGGAGCTAACATTACTAAGTGGCACACAATCACCACAACAGGCAGTCCAGGGTGCCGACTCTCGGAGGGGTTCTGCTCTCATGCCTGACACTGAAAAAACCAATCTTGGCACTGCAGATTTTGACGAATCTGTAACGTTGCATCAGCCACAAGACTTAGTTTCAAACGCACTATCGGAGGATGTGTCAAGCAGCACATTAACTGTTTCACCGAAAAAAGAAACGTCAGCTATCCAAATTGACGATTCAAGTGCAAAACCAATTGTGGCTGAGGAAAAATCCATTGATAAGAGCACGCCAAGTCAGGACCAAAAATTGTTAATTCAAGAAGAAAGTGAATCATTCCATCAATTTGCTACAGACCTAAAGCTATATGAAGATATTATTCCGGCACTTGTCACAAAAAGCGTTTCGGGTTTAACAAATGATAATTTGATGTTAAAAACAACAGAAGCTATTTGTAAACAAGATGCCGAAAACTCACCCGACAAACGCGTGGAGAGTTCTGTACAGCCACTCACTGTTAAAGAAGAATTAGACAATGTTGAGTCACAATCTCACACACAAAGAGATTTAATTGAGATATCTTCTAGTGACGCAGTAATTAACAATGAAAAACGGCAGTCTGTCACAGTGGAAACAGAAGAAAGAAATACAATAACGTTAGAAAAAGTAAAACAAATTACGTCTAACGCAGCAGATTTCGAGCAAATTTCTCCTAAGAAAGAAACAAGCTGTGACAAGAAAGACCTGGGTGTTACCTCCTACACGGACAAGGAAGTGGGAAAAGAAGAGCAGCCCTCAGAAGAATTATTGGAAGAAATAAATTCACCTATCCAAACTGATGCTATAAATTTAAGCGATACAGTTGACAGCAAAACAAATGAAAGCGGAGAAAAATCACCGCTTACAGGAATGGAAGCAAATGAAACTGCTGACAGGGGAGATGGTTTCCCCAAAATACAAGAAGTACTCGAAAAACGGTCTTCAATAAAAACCGAAACAATAAGTGTTACAGAAATAAGCAATGCTCGAGAAACCAGTAGCCAGGAACAACAGGTGTCAGTACAAACGAAAGTGGATGCCACGCCAGAAAATGTGGCTATCGATTCTTCGCAGCTAACTCCTGGAAAGGGTGAAATAATTCGGTTGGAGGGAAATATACCGGGCCCCTTAGATTCCGCATCAAAGATAATCCCCGCAGAAGTGCCCCTAGTTCAATCGCAACAAGTAAATCTTCATAAAAGTGAGGCACAATCAATTGAAAGCAACTTAAACAAAGAAGCTAATGAAACCTTGAAAGATTTGCCTGAGTTAACCTCAGCCATGTCAGAATCTCCTGGGGCACCACAAGACAAAAAAGAAAAACGTGATTCAATTCAAGAATCTGTTTCTCCTACCGTTAAGTCTCCTGCAAAATCTTTGGAGTCATCCCCTGAAAAAGGAGAGTCGCGCAAAGGGACTTCCTCGTCTCTTGAACAAAGCTGTAAAGAAACAGCTAAAAATCTTGACGAGTCAAAGGCTGTGGACATTCGAAATTCACAAGTGGCGTCTGAAATGACTAGTATAAACGAAACTGTTCAAATAGAAAAGGTAGTCAAAGAAGAGGTTGTAGAAAATACGGAAGTAGTCGATAAATCGAGCCCGTCAGTTCATGAATATGAAGAAATCGAGACAATTGAAGTCACTAAGTCAAGTTCAGAAAAAGTTTTATCACCTGACAAGGTTTTATCCGTTGAGTTAAATACTCTGAATACAGTTGAGGCGGACAAGGGAAAGGAAGATACTTCTCTGCAACTTGTGACACAAGGCGAAACAGTAACAACGATTCTAGAAACAATTCCTCCCATGTCTCCAAATTCTCTTAAATCATCAAACGCTGTATCTCCAGAAATCTCTCCTAAAGCTTCCTCCCCTGCCTCCCCAGAGAAAAATACTTCTGAAGTTAGCAAAAAAATTGCAGATAAAAAGGTAACACCGCCTTTATCTCCGAAAGATAAGGTATCTGGAAGTGTTACTGAAGTTGAAAAAGTACCGAGCAAAATTCACGAAACAAAGGAGTCACCCGTAAAGTCCCCAGCACCAGCTGTTACTTCAGTTTCGGAATCACTTACATCCTCTCCAACTCACACAACTGCTCAAACCCTCAGCCCGAATTCAGTGTCACCAGAACCCACAGTCACTAAACAACTGCCGGTAGACTGTGATATCCAGGCACATACTTCAGACTTGGTGACCACGGCAACTAGTGAGAGTGTTTCAACTAAATCTTCATCAGAGGTTATAAGCGAGCATGAGACTGCAAAAATCTCCATTTTAACTGAAGAACGATCAAGTCAAATTATTACTGAACAAGGGACATGCGCGGTTGAGCACTCTTCTGAAGTACAATCTTCAACAATTCAATTATCGCAGGAATCCTTTGATGAAAAAGAACCTTCAGAATCTAAAAAGTTAAAGAAAGAGTCGGAGGATTCAGAAAAGACACTTGTTGAAAAAGACAAGCAAGAAAAGTCAGCCAAAGATGCTTTTAAACATTGCTCACTAGAGTCCTCGACGTCTGCTTTTGACCACAAATCTGACGGGACTGGAGTACATGTACAACAAACTGACCTGAATATAGCCACCGATGAGACGGCTCTAGAGGAAGAGCGCAAGAGTGGGGCTACGACACCATCCATTTTAGTAACAGGATGTAAAACACTAGCCCGCCAGAGCCAACCAAGTGAATCAGATTCTGAACTGCCCGAAGAAGACCTTAAACGTCAGGATGATGTATTTGAGGCTGCCGTTACTCCGGAAGATCCTCTTTTAGAGTCATCTGAAAAAGGTTCGTCTTCCAGTTTGGAAAATTTGGTGGTCACAAAAGAGGAAGATTCAAAAGATGCACGCGCAAACTTACTTGCATCTGAAACAGAGCAATCTGGCCTTTCGCATGGAGAAATTCTGGCAATAAAGAAGAGCTCTCTTGATCTTACTCGGGAGTTCCTTGAAGCTGAATCAAAAAGCCACACAGACGCCACCGCCTCCGATTTGCATAAATCTTCTGTTTTAAGCGTAGGGCACTCTGGTGGCATTTTATCTGCAGCCGCAATACCCGCAACTGTCATATCGTCTGTATTAGTTGGTGTTGAAAAAGCGGAAGCTGCAACAAGTCCAATGACGCCTCTTGAACCTACGGGAAGAACAGTTATTCATGGCCAAAGCGATTTTTCTGATGAAAAACATGAATCCTTACTACAAACTCAAATAAAAGAATCTGATAGTTCACTTAACAAGCACACTGCGGAAAATGCTCTTGCTTCTGCGGGTGAAATCAAAATTGGCAGTAGGTCAGAGGAGACAGAGGAACCCGAATTTACACTTGTTTCAAAAAGCGTACATGAAGAATACGTAAATGTACCTTTTAATGAGGATGGTGAGTGTAAGAAACTAGCAGCTACAACTACTGTGTCGACTTTCACTGCCAAAGATGTTAGCGATTCCCCAAAACATGGTGACCTAACCAAAACTGTAACGACAGTCACCAAGATTACAACGGACAAGGATGGTTCGGATGCCATGGAAACAACAACGACAGAGGAAGTTCTCAGTGAAGGAAAAATAACATCTGTTTCTACAAAAACTGAAATGTCACCATTGCATAAGCGATCGACACCAGAACCACAAGAAGAAGATGGTTCTGACAACGCTCAACAAGTAGCAAGTTATCCAAGTTCTTCTGAAGAAAGGGGCTTTGCAAGTGAATGTGTCGTGGATCCTGCGCGCATTCTATTGGAATCAGCTGTTGTAAGTGTAGTTGGAGGCGTTGCTTCCGTAAGCAAAAATGTTACAACAGGATTCGATGATGCAATGTCTGCTGGATTAAGTGTACTTAGTTCTGTCGTTGGCGTTCGCAAAGATTCTCTTGAAGCAACTCGAAGCTGTACTCCTGCCTCCGATATTGATATGGAACCTTCGACACCACACAGTGATATAAGCAGTGGCCAAGTGTCACGGGCGCCCACTAACATTTCTGAAAGTGACTTTCACCCAGAAAGTGAAGACGACGATGTGCCCGGGTCGCCAACTAGCCTTACCTCACAAGTCACACATTCACCTCCCCCTCACTTTGACTTTGGTGTGGGTGAAACCCACAGAAGTGGAGCGAGAGGAAGTCAAGATGACCAGTGTGTATTAGAAACCAAAGCTTCGACCCAAGTTCGCCGCCAGACAATTGCAGCTCCTATGACTACCTCTATGTACGGTGCAATTTCTGGCAGTCCTTTAGATGAAAATCCAAAGGACTCTACAGGCACTCAAAATGAGCCAATGATGTCTTCAGTATATAACTTGCCTGAAGAAAAGACCACGTCCCTTGGCGGGTCTGTTGATATAATGAGTTCAAGTATGATTGGTGAGTTCAGCAGTTCAAATGTCTTAGAATTTGATCAGGCTGTTGAAGAGCACAGGGCCGCTCGTGGGACAGACCTGACTAAAAGTACAGAAAATGTGTTGTCAGTCTTGGACTCAGGTTTTAGCGATACTTCATCATTGGTCTCAAAACCAGAAATTATTCAAGAAAAACCCCAAAGCAGTTCCATTCACTTTTCAGAAACCCAGACAAGTCACCTATCAGAAGAAGTAAAAGAAGGTGCAAAATCCGTTGAAGATAAAACTGCAGCATCCAAAACAAAAGATCCAATAGCTGGATGGGGGGAGCCCCTAGGACTACCATCACCAGTTCCCCCACCTACAAATGAGGAACCAGTGCCATCTCCAAAAGGTACACCGCAAAAAGACAGACTTGGAAGCAGGAAACCAATCGTGGACAATAAAAAGAGGCCTGAATCTCCACGACGAGCTAAAGGAAGCAAAAGTAATGCCATTTACATAGATCTTACATACGTACCACATCATGGAAATTCATACTACACCTCCCTGGAGTTCTTCAAACGGGTGCGTGCTCGATACTACGTTTTCAGTGGAATCGAGCCCAGTCGGGAAGTGTACAACGCACTTCTGGAGGCAAAGCAAACATGGGAAGACAAGGAACTAGGTTGGTTTTTGTGTTTTCCTTTTGACGACAATATTATGCAAATCAAAGTGTTTGTCTTTAAATAAATTTTCTTTTGTTACAGAGGTTACCATAATTCCAACTTATGATACGGACACACTAGGGTACTGGGTGGCTGAAAATGAAGATGCGTTGGCCAAATACAAGATAGACCTTTCTCCGTCAGCGTCAAGATGCACAATAAATTTGCAAGATCACGAAACAAGCTGCTCTGCGTATCGCCTCGAGTTTTAGGAAAAATTGATTTTCTTTTGCCGTTTTTGTATGCGTGGTGCTAAACTATCGTTACTACAACTTATAGTTTGTTTTAAAGCATACGTATAGAATCTATGCACAAGTCTTTATATAATATGTTAAAGAGAATGCAGCTTAATTGAACCGTATTGAAACTGTTTTTATTTCTTTAAATTTATTATTTTAGAGCAAATGCCAGAACATTTTGTATCTGTTCCCAAACTAAGTGATCTTTGATTTTTAGAAGCCTCTTTTTTATACGTAAATCTACATTTCATCTTACAATCAATTTAGAAACGTTTGCACTATTAAAAAATTGGTTTCGTTACTGTTTTAAATTTTATCCCGTTTGTGTCACTTTATTTGCTATCATCTGTCTTGTAATATGGTTTTTATTTAACTATCCAGTGCTACATCATTCTATGTAATATCGTCTCTACTTGTCTTGGCGCGCCATAACAGAGGCTCCAAGACCCGTCCTTTAGAAACTGTCCAAACCAATGACTGAAGTTAATTGGATTGTTTTTTTCCGAGCCACCTTCACGGTCTCCCTCCTTTTCACAAGGGACCATAGACCCAAATATAAAAATAAATCAGGTCATTCATTCTAACGAATCTTTGGTGGCACTTCTATTTGTAATCCTGGTGATTGTGTCGTTTTACCAATCCATTGGAATGGCCATAGTTGCCATCAAATGTATAAGTCCCACACAATCAAAAATAAACTGGGAGTGTTATTTCGACTTTACAGATAGTTTTACTTTTTGTGTTTCACTGCAGATTCTCTACTTAAATCAATGTAACCAAAAGTACACGATAATTATACCATGCGCTTCAACCAACTTCTGCATACAGGATTGTTGGATGTTTTGTTTCACGTAAGGGCAGAAATCCTTTTGATAATGTTTTGTTATAATAAATTGGAGAATACTTTTGCAGTAGCACAATATTCATCTATTTGTGAGAAAACTTGCCTAAAAAATTTACAATGTAAATCTTAATTTATTTCCCTTGTGGCCTGCCAACTCATTGAAACAGGTAAAAAGTGCATTAGTTCGAGTTGAAGTTGGCCATTTCTTCCTTTCAGTCATAAAGATAAGCACATAGCTTTTTTCATCTAGAAACTATTTAACAACTTACCACATCTGTTTTATGGTGGCTCTACCTCTAGAATAGATAGAATCACGGTAAATTTAGATATTGAACGGCATTTAAATGGACCTGTTGAAACCGATTGTAAATTATCTTACAAAATGAAGAAGTGTGAAGGAGTACATCTGAAAAGGACGTGTGGCCTCTTAGAGCAAAAGGCATCAAACTGTTTTTATAATTTTGAAATGTTGCACGCTGTCATTTGTTGTGAGCCAAACGCTTTAGGATATAAAATTATGCATTCTTAAAATTTTATGTGATATTTGTTGAGGTAATGTGTGAAAAGAGCTGAACTTTACCCAGATTTAACGTTCGTTATTTTAAACAAATAAGCTGCATTTGTGATTATGGTCAATGTGGAATCAGAGATGAGTTAATTTTCTGTAAAAGTACAGTAATGATGGACTCCCTTTCTCATTCTGCTTCCACATAATGCCAGACAATAGGTCACTTTCTGGATTCGCTCTTCTGAAGTATACTTATCCTATAATATGCCCTAATGTTGCATCTTCTCATATATGTGAGATTATTTATAAACACAGAAGTATTTTATGTAAACTCTTTGCAAGACTTTCAGAAGAGCGTTTGTCCATATTGTGGCCCGGGTAACGCAGAACTGGGATGATGCATGTGATAAGAGTGGTGGCAGTATATAGTATTCTTTTTTGAATCTGAATCTAAAGAAATACGACAGCAAAGCAGAACTAGCTAATCTTAACAAAAGAAAATGCTTTTTCAAATTTAAGCCCTGTTAACATTTTGTCTTAGCCATGCAAGAAATCCAGTTTTATTTACAGCTTCACCTGAGAAGAGACTGGTAGTCGTAGATTTGGGTTGTTTTGTACTAATGTAGAGTTTATCGATGTTTCTCATAACAACATACTTAAGCAAATGCTCTCCCTGGTTTAGGGGCTGCAATTTTTCAATTTGTATTTTAACTTTGTTCATATCCTGAAAGATGCTTCCCATAATCTCGGATACTTGGCTCAGGGTTAAAGACCAAGGTTATGTAAAACAAACGTTCTGTTGTGTTTAAAATAGTGTTTGAAAAATGTTAAAATAACTATGACCGGCGCGTCATCTTTCCGTACATTGTGTGTCCTTTTGATCGGGCTTTGAACCCGTACGTCTGTTTGCATCCAAATTTCTCACCGGGATGCTAGCCGGGAATATAACCTGCGCATAGGCTTTCAGTGTAATGAGATCAAAAGCTGTTACATCATTAAAATTCCTATGTAAGCATTGCTGTGCTCATAATTTTAACGTGATGTGCTCCAAGATGCTCTGCAGGCTGCATTTTAGTTGTCTCATACATTTGCTTTTTCCATGTTTTAACAAACATTTATGATACGCATGTATTGTATACTACAGACTATTATTTTGTTGTGTGAGTATTATATTAATTAGATATGTTGATCAATTTATTAAATATTTATTGTGTATTTATTTCGAATAAATAGTTAATAAATCTAGAATTTTGTAAACAGGGAGCAAGGAATCCTTAGCAGACGACGTTATCATAATCTTATCATTGATACATGAGGTTTGGGATATTTCATTAGCTGTTTGTGATTGGAGAAATTTTCTGACACATTCTGGAGACATTTCCAATGTAAACTTTGAATCTAATGGAAACATCTTTGGTGGAAACTCTGGCATCAGTTTTGAACTTTGCCAAACGTCTAGAAAAGAGTCCCCTTTGTTTTTGATTTACGAAATATTTTGTTGAGAATGGTTCGTTTCGCTCCCTTTTTAAATATTTACTGTACTGTGCTTTGATTACTGATGTCAGCGTTTCGTTCACTGATTCTTCGTACTCAGTTACTGTTTCATTTTTACCACTTTTAAATTTTCACGCACTGGCCGTAACGATGCCGGAACATCGCACTGAAGGTGTACTGAAAGGATTGTGAACGTTCCTAAGTTATTAAGACACGTGGGCCTAAATGCGTACCCTTCAAGTCTAATTTTTTTAACTCACGTTGAAATGCGACACTTAGTGTGAGGATATTCATAAATTCTTGTGAGATCCGACCTGTTACTGGGCGCGCTCGTGTCGTTGCTGCTGCGCGAGTGGTAGGGCTGCTGTGACCATAAAATGACTGATTGGGTGGGGATAGGTGAAACAACTGAAAGCAGGAACTAAGGATTGAAACTTGAAAATTCGCGCAAATGAGTTCTGAGTTAGCCTTAAAAGCGTCTCAAAGGAAAAATTTGCGTTAGCCTTTAAGGATTGCTTCTAGTCATTGTAACTTATTCAATTTTGCTTAATGAATTACAGTATAGGGTTTGATTGTCTGAAAAAAAAGCATTATAAAACTAACTGAAAGTGAAATAAACATCATCTCCATTTATGTTCCATTCCTTCTAGCCCCCAAATTTTGCTGTTAGAAACACTTTTACGCTACTTTAAAAAGAAACATTTATTTACAAAACAGACACACAAGTAAACTTGTATTACGCAACAGTCACGCAAATATATTAAAAATTTGGCTTATTAACGATCGAAAACATAGGCATTAAACTTTTTATAATTTATGTATACACGACAGCTTTTTCAGTACTCGACAGCATTTTATATTTGACTGAACAGCACAGTAAAAAGGACAGAAGTTTTCGATTCGTCCTTTGCCGACTTAGCGATTGCCTCTTATGGCACTTTTCCATGTATTTAATTTTCTCATCGATCACGGTTCGTCGTAAATACTTAGTGCATAATATCTAAGACACTGATTTTACCATTTACAATACACTTTCACAGTACTTCAAACTTCATTTTAGCAATAGGAACTTACACGCTCACCTATATTATTTGTTCTTTTTCTGAACATTCAGAGTTATGGCTTCATACTTTACACTTCCTATAAATGCTACTTTGTGTTGTTGTGATAATAATACTTAATGGGCACTGAACCGAAACAACAATCGCTTTTAAATAAACTAATCAGCTGGGTTGGGGTGGTAAGCGGACTTAACAACTACAAAACATCACAGAACTTATTACTTGTCTCTACGAACTGTCCATCACTTCGCGTCTAAATGGGGCCGCGCCCCGAAGTGTTCCTGATCGGAGGCGTTTCTTGCACGCTTAGGTTTGACTTGACGCTCGTTGTCCCAAACACGTCCAGTCTTGTCTCTCACGTGTCCTCGTTGGTCTCCGTGTAGTGACGGTTGCCCCTGGCCGTGCCGCAGTTGTCAAAGAAGGTGGCGGACGACCGGGACGCGATGTCGGCGTACTCCTTGGTGCCGACGGTGCACAGCTGCGGGGCAGGCTCCACGTTGCGCTTGCCGCGGCCGTCCTTGGCCGCGTCCATGTCCAGCCCCAGCTGCTGCACCTGGACGCTAGACACGTACAGGTGGTCGTTGCACCAGAAGAAGCACAGCGAGCGCGGCTGCAGCACGTCCATGTCGTACTCCCAGTAGAGCTCGGCGCGCCGCACGGGGCCGGAGCCCATGTCCAGAGGGTGTGTCACCACGAAGCTGCGAGCCTCGCCGTGCTCCAGCCGGACGTAGCCACTGAGGAATACCAAAAAGTTAGTAAAGTTGACGTTCTCGCAAGCATTCACTGTCTCCGTAATTGCAGCCTGGGAAACTTGGGTGCAAGAAACACTGTTATTTGTTCGGTTTTTTTCGCATTCGCAGAGGGTGTTGTCAGTGCAAGTTGCCGTGCAGAGGTTTGTTTAAAGAGAAAACAGCGGTGTTGACTCGACCGGCCTCGCCTCGACGCTTCTAGACTCACCTGGGCGTGAGGTCCAGGTTGCGGGCCACGCCGCTGTCGCTGTGGATGGTGGCTTTCATGAAGCCTTGGACCCAGGACTCAGCGCGCGGCGGCCGGGCTAGGTGCACCGTGATGCGGTAGTGGCGCCCTGGAGGATAAGAAACAGGTTTGTCAAAAAGGGACCGTCACTCAAGGGAGAGGTTCAATTTTCGTCTCTTTGTGCCTTTTTCACCCTAATTTGAGGCCCGGATAAGAAATACGCTATCAAATACACACATAATCGAGCTTATGAATAGGGCTCAAAAAGTATCAGAAACAGAAAAATAAGGCTGCTGCCCAACTGCATCCCCATCAAACAATGTAAGTTCCACTCACTGCAAAACGGCGTGTCCTTGCCCGTGGCGACGAAGTACTTGCTGCCCGGGGGGCCGATCGGAGTCTCCGTGGCGTGCATGCCCATGAGGGCGCAGTTGCTGGAGTTGGTGGCACAGTTGAAGCATTTCCCCTGCGAGCAAGAATATGAGACAGTTGTTGCCGGTACTTGAAACCGCCCTTTGCCGTGCTGTCGTGACTGACCTCGAGGAAATGCTCGTACGAATCGCACTTGTGCGCGATGTAGGGGCAGGGGGCGTTGATGGAGTCGGTGAAGAGCTTGATGGCACGCACGTGCGAGCACGCCACCAGCACGCGGCTGGCCTCCTCCAGGCCCTCGCGGATCAGCGTGAGCGGCAGCGGCGCGTCCGTGCCCGAGCAGCCGGGCTGCTCCTTGCCGTTGTTGGGGTAGAAGTCGACGTGGCCGCACGGCTGCGACATGCCGTACCCTAAAACAGAAACAATCGGGGTTCAGTCGCGCGCCGCCTACTCTGGCATCGAACCCGCGTCGCTCCGTCTCTCTCGCACCCCCGCGGAGCTACCCAGGAGTGCGACAGAGAGAGAGGTTTGCTCCTCACCGAGCAGGAAGATGGACGTGCCGTCCGTGTGGATGACGTCCACGAAGCGCGCGTCCGACGTGTCCAGCCGCACGGATGTGGGCATGCCCTGGAAGTAGGGCTCGGCGGGGTCCAGCCCCGTGATGCGGCCCAGCCCCGCTATCCGCTGCCCCGCGTAGCCCGCGGTGTGCGCCCCCAGGCTGTGGCCGATCATGTGCACCTTGCCGGGGTCCAGGCCCATGTGCTCCTGCAAGGCAATGCAAGGCTAGTCAGGTACCTGCCAAGTGGAATGTCGCTTTCGGAATGCCACCGACGCCAACACACCCGTGGGCCGTTCCTTTAAATTTTTCATACCTGCAGGTAGTTGACGAAGTACGCCACCTCCAGGCCCACGAGCCTCGTGTTGGCGGTCGCCTGCGTGTACAGCGGCAAGGAGCCGCCCGCCCAGTCCACCACCACCACGTTCCAGTCCGAGTTCTTGAGCAGTTCCCGGCGCATTTCCTACGACAGTCATAGTGTTAGTACAGAGCAACAAAAAACAGTCTGGAAGCGTCCACGAGGAACAGTGTCGCGGCATATCGTCGCGTTAAGGACAACTCACCTTCACCCAGGAGCTGAGCGGGGTGTCGATGAAGCCGTGGATGATAATTTTGGTTTCCTTTTTGGGGTCGAAGTTTGACTTGAGCATCGTCTTCTCATTCTGCACACGGAGGAGTTGACCCTGCGGGACAGACGCGACGCTTCAGAACCGGTCCGGTGCATCACTCCGCCTCTTCCTCAGTGGGCTGATTCACTCTGTCTCTCTCGCACCCCTACGCAACGCAACAGAGTGCGAGCGAGACAGAAAGCGTCGTTTGCTTGGCGCCGCGCTGCGCCGCGCCTCACCTCGTTGGGGTTCTGTCTCGTGTACAGGATGAATTTGGTGTCGATCACAGCCCGGGGCAATGGGAACACATTGAACGGCCGGTAGATGAGGTGGTACCAGTCCCGCGTCACGTTCAGGCAGCCCAGCTCGTCGTAGCAGCGCGTCTCGTTCTCGACTGGAACAAACAAAAACAACAACATTTCAGTGAAGGCGGTTCGTTGGCCTGCCCGGCGGCGTGACTCGCTTTTTGTGTGGATGCGGTGCGTTTGGGCGCAGCAGCACTGCATCCGATAATGGAGCGGGGCGAGGCACCGCCAGGGCACCGCCGGGGCACCGCCAGGGCACTTTCTCTGCCGCCTTGCCGGCCGGGACTCCTGGCAAGGCAAGCCCTGGCAAGGCAAGCCCGGCCGGTCCGCCGCTGGAAAAGCGCCGCGGTCGATGGAAATGATCGGAACGGGAAAACCCGTTCCCCGGAGGGCGTGGCATTACATGAGCCAATGTAAAAGAGCGCCCCCGAATGAACTATTAAGCACTATTATGCGAGCGGCCTCACCGATTCCGAACAGTGCTTCGTCACTCTGTCTCCCTCGCGCCCCCCGAGGCGCCCCGCGAGTGCGAGAGAGACAGACTGCAGTGAGTGCACGCGCCCTGCGGCGCCCTGCGTGCGATCGGGGGCCTGGGGGGTCTCGGGGACCGCGGGGGCCGCGGGAGCCGCGAGGGCCTCGGGGGCCGCGGGGGCCTCGGGGGCCTCGGGGGCCTCGGGGGCCGCGGGGGCCTCGGGGGCCGCGGGGGCCGCGGGGGCCGCGGGGGCCGCGGGGGCCGCGGGGGCCGCGGGGGCCGCGGGGGCCGCGGGGGCCGCGGGGACCGCGGGGACCGCGTGGGCCGCGGCACCTCCGTGGCCGTGCGCCGTATCGCATAGGTGTCAGGGGCCAGCAGGCGGGCCAGCAGGCGGGCCACCGGTTCCTTCCGTTACATCACGCCAGTTCCTTCGGAGACAGGAAATAAATTGAGGGCCGGCCAGACTGCTTGGAGCCCAGTGTCGCGTGGCCCCTCCAGCGGCCGCCAGCGGACGCCGACCGCCGAAGCCGGCCGATGCCGGCACGAAGCCGAGCCGGCACGAAGCCGAGCCGGCACGAAGCCGAGCCGGCACGAAGCCGAGCCGGCACGAAGCCGAGCCGGCACGAAGCCGAGCCGGCACGAAGCCGAGCCGGCACGAAGCCGAGCCGGCACGAAGCCGAGCCGGCACGAAGCCGAGCCGGCACGAAGCCGAGCCGGCACGAAGCCGAGCCGGCACGAAGCCGAGCCGGCACGAAGCCGAGCCGGCACGAAGCCGAGCCGGCACGAAGCCGAGCCGGCACGAAGCCGAGCCGGCACGAAGCCGAGCCGGCACGAAGCCGAGCCGGCACGAAGCCGAGCCGGCACGAAGCCGAGCCGGCAAGCCGAGCGTCTTTCCCGTTCAAAACGTCAACGTCGGTAGGCTGCACGTCACCAGTGACTTTGAACGCGGTGAACAGTGCGAGAGATGATTAGAGTTGTCTTCATTTCACCCACCAGTTTTGGATTGACTTACTGGTTGTTTTCCCACCCGTGCACAACCGTCGGAGACAAAACTATTTAGAGCGCAGCTGTGATGACTAATGCGTGCTCTGGGTGCTGGTTGAGGCCGGTTCAGGCGTGTTGGTAAGCCCGCGGGGAAATCCTGACTCGTTTGCCCGGTGCATCTATCTTCCCCTCTAATCAAGCCGCGTGTATTCCGGGGTGTGAAGTGCGTGAAGTACAGCCCGGTGCAAAACAGATTGGCGGCCGGGACACTTCCGCCCGTCGCGTCCCGCCACGTCCCGCCACGTCCCGCCACGTCCCAGCGCAAAGTTTGGCCTGATAAAAAGGGGCGGCTGCGCCACGCGGCGCCACGCGGCGCCATGTAGGTCTGCAGGGCGTGGCGGCGGGGCCCGAGCGCGGCCGCGCATTGGCGGCCCGCCATGTGTACCACAGTTCCTACATCACTGGCCGGCAAAATTTCCGTGACGGCGGCCGAGCCCGGCCGAGCCGCTCCGAAGGCTCGTTTCGTCTCGCTCTCGCGCCCCCACGAGACGTGGGTGCGACAGAGACGGAGCGAGTGCCACTCCGATGCACTTGCTGCACTTGCTGCACTTGCCGGGCTGCTTGCTTCACACGCGAAGGTGGCGCGCCGCGTGGAGCTCTCCAAAGGCCTGATTATTGTGCTGCGCGGCCGCCGGGTCGGTGACCCTAGAGTCCCGGGTGCGACCGGGTACCGTGCCAAGCGGGGTTACGGCGCGAGCAGGCTCGTTCCGAGTCGGTGCTTCGTGGCCCTGTCGCCCCATCGCGCTGTGCGGGGCGCCTTACGAGTGTGAGAGCGACGAAGCACAGGGTCGAAACCAGCCCGCAGCGACGCATGGGCCTTCGGGGGCCCCCGCGTTAGACTGGACCGGTAAAGACCGGATCAAAATCGGTTGGAGGCAGCAAGGCCAACCCTCGGCCGGGTGGCATTTTGGAATGCACTACGTCTCAAAGTGTCACACACTGACCTGCCCCAGCTCGATTAGATACTCACACGGCAGCCAGGGGATGTTGACCTCGAGGGCGGGCCTGTCGGAGCGGCCCCAGTCCAGGAGGCCGGCGCTGGCCCCGCCGAGGGCTCCGGCCACTAGCGCCACCACAGCCACGGCCGACCCCAGCCCCATCCTGCAACAGGGACAGATTGTTAGACAAAACGCACAGCAAGCGGCAGTGTCACGTAGTGCAGTAGAAAGCGGAAAAAAAGTCGCAGTGCAGTGCCACTGTGATTCATAACCGAAGTAAGCGTAAGTTTCATAGAAACACCGAAACCACTACGAGGGGTTACCCACTCCGGGAATCATGTGTACACTCAGTCCGGGAATCATTCCTAAATCTTTCAAAATTTGATGGAAAATCCTCATAGTTTCAATTTAAAGTCATGGTAACCATGTGATACACACAAAAGCATTCAAATACACAGAAAATTTTCGAAAGTTCTCTCTTTTTCTCAGAGATATGTTCTGGGAATCGCGGGAATCCGGAATCGTGTGTACACTAAAGCAACGAGTGGGTAACCCCTCGAACCACTAGCGATAACACATCGTGGCGTCAGAATCAAGTTTCTGAATGAAGCAGCACAGAATAAATTTTCCTCGCGTACGGAACTGTGTGCAATAACATTCTACACATATAAATTCCTACAAAGAACTGCTCTTTGTAATACGAAGAAAACGGCGGCTTCGCAGCCTGCGAAGAAAATCGTTTGTAATACGAACGATTTTCTTCGTAATACAAAGGAAAAATCCTTCGCAGGCTGCGAAGAAGTTCTTCGTAGGCTACGAAGAATTTTTCCTTTGTATTACAAAGAAAATCGTTCGTATAACAAACGATTTCCTTCGCAGGCTGCGAAGCCGCCGTTTTCTTCGTATTACAAAGAGCAATTCTTTGTAGAGTTTTAAGTGTGTAGCAATGGAATTTCCGTTGTTTTTTTATTCCGTGGAACTGGATGTCGATGTGTCGGCCCGGCGGCGCTAGAGGGCTACACTTGCTCCCAACCACAAGAGCGACCGTCGCATTGCATCACAGCGCCAGCACAGCGGCCCACAACAAATAAACCATAAACCACCACTTGACCGAGCGGTGCGTGAGTGTGCGTGTGTGTGTGCGTGCGTGTGTGCGTGTGTTGACCGAGCGCCCCGTCTCGCGGCGGACGGCCTTCGCGACCTTGTTTCCCGCTGGGGCGGCCTGGGGCGGCCTGGGGCGGGCCGCGAGGCGCCACGTCGTGGCCGCGTCCTGGCCGCGTCCTGCGGGCTGCTTCCGAACAGTGCTGTCGTCGCTGTCTCGTCGCTCTCGCTCTCCTTGGCTGTCCCGCTGCAGCCCGCTGGGGCGAGCGAGACAGAGCGACACCTCAGCCTGTCGGAGGGCGAGGGCAGGCGGCAGGAGGGCGGCCGCAATTACTTCCAACCGGCGCTGCTTAGCCGCGCAAGACAGGCAAGACACCGTCCGCCGCGCCTACACCGGCAAGCCGGCCGAGCGGCCGAGCGGCCGAGCCAGGCCCAGGCCAGGCCGAGCGCCGCCGTGGCGTGCCGGTGCCGTACCGAGCGGCGTTGCGTTGCGTCACGCCGGAGAGGGTTTCAGAGGTTTCCGAGGGCGCCGCGCTGCCTGCCTGCCTGCCTGCCTGGTCGGTCGCAGCAGCAGGGGCGGGGCAGGCGGGGCAGGCGGGGCTGGCAGGCCGCTGGGAGAGGGAAGCGTGCGGCGTGATCTTGAAATGCGCGGGCATTCGGACCGGCTGCGCCGTCTGCAGGCTCAATCGGACAGTGCCTTGTCGCTGTCTCGCCCACACTCATGGGATGCTCCTTCTCCTAGGGGTCAGGTCAGAGAGCGACGCAACGCCGTCGTGGAGACTTGCACGCGGGTGGGGCGCGAAGCCTCCTATTCGGATTGACATTCGGCCTCGCCTCCCTCCTCGCCAGTCCGACGATGGTTTGTGCCGGTGGCATCGCCGCCCCATCCGTCCCATCCGATTGGCAAACTGCCAGATGGGTCGCGTGGCCGGCGTGACCTCCGCGTGACGTCAGCGTGACCGCGGTGCACCGCGGTGCGCGAGCACACTGCCGGCCTCTACACTGCACCGCGCGGCACCGCGACGAAACAGGAGGGATGTATCTTCCGTCCACTCCGCTGTCGGTTTTGCGACACGCGGCGCCATGAAGCGCGCGTTGCACGCGGCGTTGCAACGTCGGGGGCGGTCGGGGGCGGTCAGCACAGTGGGCCAGAAGACCGGCCTTGATGCGTTTTGAGTAGGGTTGGTCGAATCGATTTCGATTTAAATCGAAAATCGATTCAAGTGGTCGATTTTCGATCGAAATCGTAATCGATTTGACGTGTCGATTTAATCGAAAAAATCGATTTAGGCGATCGATTTTCGATTTTCCTTAAATTTGCGCTATTTTCGCTTATTTGGCGCTCTCAGAGAATTGAAACTGCGGTGATTTTGGTGAAATTGAAGACTAGGAATCATTTACCACCAAGTTCAAGATGTAATCATTCAAAAACAAGGCCTTACAAGTAATCGTGCTGCTGTGCGTGCGGAGAACATTGCAAATTACCTCAAATCCTGGCTGGTTATTGTATTAGAGGACCCGCACGTTTAGAAAGCCGCCAACAAATTAAACCCCCATTTTTACGCATTTTAGAGGCACGATTGTAAAGTAACCGAGATAGCTGTTCTGACCCCAATGAAACACTATGTTCTTTCCAGGAACATAGAGCTTCAAATAAAAGATTTGTATGGCTTCCTAAGGCATACACCGTGTAAAGTTGCAAAGAAGTCGACAAGGGCATACTTTTACCTTCTTTACCGTCCTATACATTCTGACCAGGATTGTGAAGAGTGTCTCCCACAAGCAGAGTATCTAATCTGAGCCGCAGGCATTTAAAAACACAATTTACTAAGAAAGGCAGAATCGAAAATCGAAAGTTGAAAAATCGATTCATCACGTTAAAAAATCGATTTTGGGAAAAATCGATTATCTTGTAACGATTCGTGAATCGACGAATCGAAAATCGATTCGAGTGGCGAAAATTACAACCCTAGTTTTGAGTGCCAGAGTCGCTAAACAGGACTCTAAACCGAACGTGCGACCCCACCAATGGATTCCTCGTTCGGAGAGCAATCCATTGGTGGGGTCACACGTTCGTTTTGAGTCCCACTCAGCGACTCTGGAGCTCAAAGCCAGCCCGGGACTTTGGCTGCCTCCACCGGTCTTCTAGCCCACTGTGGGGCGGACGGCGACGCGCACCAAACCAAGATGATCGTCGGCAAGTTCACGTCGTGGAGGGAGGCGCCGAAAAGGGGTCACCAAGGTCGCGCGGCTGGCGTGCGCGTGCGCGTCGTGCGCGAAGCATGCGCGAAGCGCGTGGCAGCCGGCCGCTATTTCTTTCTGCGTGCACTGCGACGCGTCCTCCAGCAGACTGGTTCCGAGCGGGAGGTCTCTCTTGCACTCACGGCGCCCCAGAGGGCGTCCCGCATGCGTGCCAGCTCCATGGCGCCGGAGAGGCACACCGACGAGAGCGTCGCTCTGGATCACGGCGCGCTCGGCGCCGGGGGCGGCGCTTTTGTTTCGTTTCGATTCGATCCGGTGGCGGACAGCCTTATGAAACGAGAGGCTGATGCGACGCGTCCAGCAGCCAGGCAGGCAGCCAAGCAGCCAGCCAAGCAGCCAGCCAAGCAGCCAGCCAAGCAGCCAGCCAAGCAGCCAGCCAAGCAGCCAGCCAAGCAGCCAGCCAGCCAGTCTGGCAGCGGCCACTCTGGCGAATCACTTTGGCGCTAATCCGATCCGATTATCCGGCGCTGCATGGCCACCTGAACTGCAGTTTGGTCGCTCTGTCTCTCTCGCACCCCGGCGGGGCTCCACATGCGTGCGAGAGAGACAGCGACACGACAGCTGAGCCGGCAGGCTTCGCAGGCTTCGCAGGCTCGGTTATGCGGCCGAAACGAGTTGGATGAGGGGAGGGGTCCAGCGGTCCGGGTCCAGAGCGAGTCGACGCGACGCCCTTGCCGCCTTGCCGGCCGGCGCTACCCCGGCCCGCGGTCCAGCGTGGCCAATTGATGCAGACCGCTTGGAGACCCCGTGACACTGCTGCAGCAGCGCTAGCAGCGCGCGGGCTGGCCTCTCTGTCGCACTCATGGGGCGTCCGGCATAGTCTGGAGGGGTGCGAGCGAGATAGAGACGAAATGGCAGCACAGCGGTGCCCGCCACGCCGTGCCCGCCACGCCGTGCCGTCCTCGTGCCCGTTCAGCGCGTTCAGCCCGATCATTCGGCTCATTACGACGCAATGACCGTGCGCGGCACGCGGCACGCGACCGCCACGACCGCGGCCTCTTATTACACTACACACTGTAAATGTCTTGAGCCCATCATCTGGCCCACATTGTATATGCAATTTTAAGCACATCTGACGGTACAAAGCTTGTTTCCGCCTGGCGACAAATATTAGCGGATGCCTACTGCAAAATTTATCTTTGCCTGGACTATTTGTATTGCCTCGTTGTACAAAATGACTGCTGACATTTATCTTTGGACAGTGTGAGCTCCGGGCAATGCGTTGATAAAGTGTCGCCTTTTTTCTGCTCCCACATTGTTGTTTGGCCGTTGCAGCCGCGCGCGCCGACGACAACGACGACGACGCCGTGCAGTCTCGGTGGTCATTGTCATGCGGCGAGCGTCCCGGCGCCACGCCGCGCCCGCCGCGCCGCCGCCGGGCCGCACTGCCATTGCGGCGTCGTGCTGCCTCGCGCCCAACGGCGGCGCAAAAAGAAAGAAAAAACAAGGCGAAGAAAAAATTGAACGTGCGGATTTGAACCGCGCACCTTTCACATGATGGCGCTCATTGGGCATGCGGCCAAGGAGAAAACGAAGGCGCTAAGGGCGTGCTAATCCCGCCGGGTAAAAACGAGTTCAATGTTGCACCGGCTGCACCGAGGGCTGCTGCACCGCCGCGCCACGCCTCCGGCGCTCCGCCGGGCTGGCGGGGCTGGCGGGGCTGGCGGGGCTGGCGGGGCTGGCGGGGCTGGCGGGGCTGGCGGGGCTGGCGGGGCTGGCGGGGCTGGCGGGGCTGGCGGGGCTGGCGGGGCTGGCTGTCAGCCGCAGCCGCTGACGTAACAATCTCAGCTTCTGGTTCGCAAGGAATAGGCGGCGCTGCGCGCTGCGCCCGGCCCGGCGTCCCCGTCCGTCCGTCCGGCCGTCCCGCCGTCCCGCCCGGCCTGGAGCCGATGCACTGCTCGTCGGCCGGCTGTCCATCACACAAAGGGCCAGAGACCGGCGCAACTCTTGACGCATTTTGAGCTCCAGAGTCGCTAAACGGGACTCGAACCAAGCCTCTGACCCCACTAAATGGATTTCTCATTCAGGGAGCAATCTATAGGTGGGTCACACGCTCGGTTCAAGTCCCATTTAGCGACTCTGGAGCACAAAGCACGTTCGGAATTTTGACTTCCTCCACCGGTTTTCTGGCCCGCTGTGCATCCTCGCCCCGCCTCGCCTCGCTTCGCCCGGAAATGGCGGGCGTCCCGTTAACACCGGGTCACGGCCACGCCGCGGCCACGCGTTCGGGGTGTCGAGGTGCCACCTGCTGAGCTGCCCGCCGGCCGGCTGCCGAGCGATCCAGAAGATCTGTCGCTTTGTCTTTCTCGCACCGGTACAGGGGTTCCCACGGGAGCGACAGAGACAGAGCGACGAAACGACTCGTTTGGATCGCGCGGCTGACCGCAGGGCGAGCCGCAGCCCGGCCGCACGTCGCGCCGGGCCGGTCGCCGCGGCCCGCGCCTTGCCGTGACCGCGCGGTGCCGCGCGAGGGGCGCTAAACACGCGCCAAGTGCAGCAAAGCCATCGTCTGCACTGTCTCTGTCGCACTCACGGGGCGGCCGACACACTGGTCGGCATCGCGCTCCACAGCGGTTGTTCGCGTCTCGCCACAACGAGATGCACGCCACACTGTTGGATCGAGAATGTTCTACTCTGACCACGGCTTGAGCTCTCGCTCCGATCAAACCCCAGGTGGCACCGATGGTTTGCGCTCTGAGCGCGGAGCCTGTGCGTCGAGCCTTGTGTGTGTAGAGGTTCACAGTCATTGGCTGAGCGATAGCGAAGCCCGTTACTCAGGTGGGGTTGAAAAGTTTTGTCTGTCTGTCTGTGTGTGTGTGTGTCTGTCTGTCAGCACTACTCCCCCGCGCCGGCCGGTCGGCTGCGGCACCTGGTTGCCGGTGGCCGCGCGAATGTCCGACCGCTAAAGGGGCCCGAAACACGCCCAAAAAAGGCGAAAAATGGGTCTGCACTGTCTCTTCGCCTTAAACGGAGGGGATCCTGGGGCATCGCGCCCACAGGCGGGTTGAATGAGGGGGTCTGGGGGGGGCCACAACAAAATGCACCAAGTTGGATCGAAAAGGGTACTACCTCTGCCACGGCAAGGCTAGCGCCCGAAAAGACCAAGGTGGTACCCGAGGTTGCGGATTGAGGCGGACCCGGTCGCAAACCCTTTGTTGACGAGAGGGTTCACACCTCATCTAGTACAGTAGTAAAATTGCTGTTTATACAGCGAAGTGAACCCCAGGGTTGACCACATGAGGTAAATATGGCTCAAGATTAACCTAAGTGCGGCCTGGAGCTCTGGTGCGCCTTGCTTGGGCGGAGCCTTGGCCGATCCTGGCCACTCTGTCCACTGTGTCACTAGTGCAGCCCGATGAAGAAAGGCCATGCCGGAAGGAAGGCGCGCCCACCCCGCCGTCGCATAGCCGTCATAGCTCGGAACTCCGCCGGGCGACCTTAGTGGGAGGCGCCGGTCCGACCGTGCCAGCCCCGCCACCGTTACATCGCTCTGTCTCTCTCGCCCCTACGGATCAACCCACGAGAGCGACAGAGACAGTGCGACAAAACGTTACTCCAGCCTCGCCAGCCGGCCGGTTCCAGATCGTTTAATTCCACGGACACCAACCTATCGCGCCGGCACGGCACGGCACGGCCGTCCCGTTGGGAAGGAAGCACTTGTGGCCGCCCACGTGGGCCATGCCGCTGGGCCGCCCTGCCCTGCCCTGCCGTGCCCTGCCAAGGCCGCCCCGATGCGCGATGTGGCCGTCGTGTTTTTCTGGGCGCCGTGATGACCGTACGCGACGCCCGCGGCTGCCAGCTCGGCCTGCCCGGCTTTATTATGTATGAATGAATATTCAGCGGCGCGTGGCGCTGGCAGGGCTGGCAGGGCTGGCAGCCGGCCTTGGTGCGCGCACCGCGGTGCTGCAACGCGCGGCGACGTGCGGCGACGACGTGCTGGCAGCTGGATGCGTTCATCTAGTTTAGACAATGCCGCCGCGGCACAGTGGGCCAGAAAACAGGTGGAGGTGACCGAAACTCGAGACGCGTTTTCAGCTCCAGAGTCACCAAATGGGACTCGAACCGAACGTGTGACCCCCACCAATGGATTGCTCTTCGGACGAGAAATCCATTGATGGGGTCACACGTTCGGTTCAAGTCGTGTTTAGCGACTCTGGAGCTCAAAACGCGTCTAGAATTTTGGCCGCCCCCACCGGTCTTCTGGCCCACTGTGCGCGGCTGCTTTCTTCGCTGTCAGCGCTCTCTCGCACTCACGTGGCGCTGCGTGCGGGCCTGAGAGAGACAGAGTCTGGAATGAGACTACTGACCGCCGGACTCGGCGGAAAGGGCGAGTGGACGCCGCGCGCGCTGCGCCGGGGGACTGCTTTTCGTAAATGGCATTTCCTGTTGTGAATCTTGTAACACTCTGCGTGACGCGAGCGAGCGGCGCGACCCGACCCGACGGCAACTCGATCCGAGCCGACACGACGCCACCTTCACTTTCTTCATATTAGCATACGCCCCCTTCCCCTCCCCCTCGGTGCCCTCGGCCTGCCGAGGCGCGGCCCCTGCAGTAATGTGTGTGGTGTACCGGTGTGCGCCTCGGTAATGATCGCTTTCACGCGCTCGACTTTGTGTAAATCGGAAAGGACTTCATCGTTTCCAGCCTTAAGTGCCAGTAAAGACGACACCCACAAAGCGTTTCAAAACGCTTCGCGCGTGCGTCGTCCTCGCAGTGTGGTCACGTCGCAGTGGCCGCGCGCCGCGCGCGTGCGTGCGTCTGTGTGTGCGGGCGTCTGTGTGTCTGTCGGCGGTGTGTGTGTGAGTGAGTGGCCACTATCATTACGCTGGTTGCGCCGCGCCGCTGCGCCCTTACGGTGCAATAGGTGACCCAGTGCAAGGCATTGCCCGGCATTGCCCGGCATTGCCTCACGCCGTCGCCGTGCGCGGACCAGCAGGGACCAGCAGGGACCAGCAGGGACCAGCAGGGACCAGCAGGGACCAGCAGGGACCAGCAGGGACCAGCAGGGACCAGCAGGGACCAGCAGGGACCAGCAGGGACCAGCAGGGACCAGCAGGGACCAGCAGGGACCAGCAGGGACCAGCGGGGCAGCAGGACCAGCAGGGACCAGCAGGGACCAGCAGGGACCAGCAGGGACCAGCAGGGACCAGCAGGGACCAGCAGGGACCAGCAGGGACCAGCAGGGACCAGCAGGGACCAGCAGGGACCAGCAGGGACCAGCAGGGACCAGCAGGGACCAGCAGGGACCAGCAGGGACCAGCAGGGACCAGCAGGGACCAGCAGGGACCAGCAGGGACCAGCAGGGACCAGCAGGGACCAGCAGGGACCAGCAGGGACTGGGTCCACTTGCATCGCCGGCGTCGACGGCATCGCCGGTGATCGCGGAAACCGTCCGGTGCGGACCGGCCCAGCCCACAGGCCGCCCGGCGTCGCTTACAACAGGCCGTGTACGATGGACTTTGTCGTAAGCGACGCCGCGTTTCGCGTGTAGCAACGCGGCCGGTCTCGTTAAGCGCAGCGGCAGGCGTGTCGTCTTAAGCGAGGCCCTAATGATATGTGCGCGCGTTAAGACTTTCAGGGACGCGAAAGAGTGCAACAGCGCGGCCCGAGTGCTGCAGCAAGCTTAGCAGAGCCGCAGCGCGCGGAAGAGTGCTTCATTCGAGCAGCGTTAAAAGTTTGTCAGTGACGAGGACCTGCTCGCCGCACGCGTTCGGTCCAGTTAGCGGCACGGCTGCGTTACGGTGCGTTACGGCGGCCGGGGCGTACCGGCGCGTTGTGCGGGGGAACAGGTCGGCGCCCCGCCCCGCCCCGCCCCACCCCGCCCCGCCCCGTCGCACCGCGCAGGAACAACTCTGGGACTCCTCAAAGGGAAGGGATGTCATAATAACTAGTGAGTTGGCGGTGGCCAAGCTCGCGTCGTCCGCGACGACCTCGGCGACGACTGCCACACGGAGTTGGAGTTTGTTTTGCGAGGAACGCCCTGCCGTTTGCGAACGGCCGGTTGGAAAAGCTGGAAAATCCTACGCGTCCCTTGCAGTGGAGGTCACGGGGACGGTGGTGTGTTGTGATTCGCGGCGCAGCGCGCGGCGGTGAGGCAACCTGGCGCTGCTAGCGCTGCTGCCGCTGCTGGCGCCGGCCCTGCATGGCAAGTGCCTCCTTGATACTTACGACAGGCGGTGGCGGCGTGCGGGGAACAGTGGCGAGTGCTATCCGTCATGCGCTGCTCGGGCTCGGTCCGCATCCGCATGCACGCCGGCGATCTCGGCAAACCCTCGCCGCGGGCATGGGGGGCATGGGGGCACACTCGATGGGACTCGCTCCACACGACGACCTGACGGCGCGATCCCGAAAACCACGGCCCGGCTCGCTGTCTGTCCGCTCTGCTCGACGAGAACAAGACCGCTCTCGGTGGCGTTCGGTGCAGCACTGGATGTCTGCGGACAGCCAGGAGCGCCGCCAGCCCCGCCAGCCCCGCGGCATGGCCTGGCCCGGCCCCTCCGATACGCCGCGGTCCGGCGGCCTACAGCGGCCAGCCCGGCCGGGAGGGGGCTGCCGGGCTGCCCCCTGTGGGGCTCCACTCCGCCAGGCACGCCAGGCAGGCGCGGCGCCCCTCCACCCCTCCAGCCCCTCCGCCGCCGCATTGTGTCCACACCACGCGGGGCGGCGGGGAGGCGGGCGCCGCCGCCGGTCGTCCTGGCGGGGCGTTCACTCCACAACAACGCACCGGCCAGCTGACGGACGGCCCGGCCCCATGCGCGCAGTGTGTCCAGCAACCATCCAAAGGTCATTTTCGTCGCGAGCAAAAAGAATCAAAGCCAAACATTAAACGCGAGAATAACGAGACTTAATGTCTTACCTCCTGCTCGCCGCAGTGGCTTGTCGCGGCTGGCGTGGTGTAACCAGGGTGTAGGCACTCCGCTCTTCTGGCCGCGTCCCCGGCGTCCTGGCGCAGGCATGCCTTTGGCGAGGCCTTTGGGCACGCCGCAGGGGTTTACTTGTCATTGTCCCTCGATCGCCGCGCGGCCAGTGCAGTGCAGCGGCCCAGCCACGTAACGCGTAGCCGCGGAGCCGCGGGGCCGTGTAGCGCGCCAACACCATTTAGCCGTGTGTTTATCCCCCATAACTCGCCCAGCTGCCCCGGCCGCTTTAAAAAATAAGAATGCATTCCCGCGCGCCCCGCCCGTTTTCTTTGGACGCTCGTCGACGGAAATGATGGGTTGGACGCGCCGCTGAAGCGCTGCCTGGCGCTGCCTTGGCGCTGCCTTGCGTCACCCGCTGAAAAGTTTCCGGACAATCGGAGAGTGTAAACGCTGAGTCGGTCGGTAACCGAAGGGAACCGATGGGAACCGATACGCGGAGCGCGCGCCCGTCCTCCTGGGCCTGCTGGGCCTGCCGGGCCTGCCGGGCCTGCTCTGGGAGGCGGGGCCCGGCGTGGCCGCTCAGGGCCGCCTTTGGTTCATTTTTTCAACGGCCCTCTTTCCGGACGAAGATTGACATTTCTCAACCAGATGACCCCCTCTTGGCGCAGCATTAGCGGGCTCGCCCCGTTCCACTGCATGACTGGGTTGCACAGTGCAGTGCACAGTGCAGTGCACAGGCCTGCCGGAAGGCCGCGGTGCGCCCCAGTCGCAGGCCATTCCGCCTGGCAGGTAGGCAATGCCGTCTTGTGCGACGCACGGCTGCTCGACGGCGCGGCCTACCTCCCAGGCGCTCTAGGAGGTCCTGACTTGAGAGGCTGTCGTTGCAGGCCGCCTGGCAGGTAGGCAATGCCGTCTTGTGCCACGCACGGCTGCTCGACGGCGCGGCCTACCTCCCAGGCGCTCTAGGAGGTCCTGACTTGAGAGGCTGTCGTTGCAGGCCGCCTGGCAGGTAGGCAATGCCGTCTTGTGCCACGCACGGCTGCTCGACGGCGCGGCCTACCTCCCAGGCGCTCTAGGAGGTCCTGACTTGAGAGGCTGTCGTTGCAGGCCGCCTGGCAGGTAGGCAATGCCGTCTTGTGCCACGCACGGCTGCTCGACGGCGCGGCCTACCTCCCAGGCGCTCTAGGAGGTCCTGACTTGAGAGGCTGTCGTTGCAGGCCGCCTGGCAGGTAGGCAATGCCGTCTTGTGCCACGCACGGCTGCTCGACGGCGCGGCCTACCTCCCAGGCGCTCTAGGAGGTCCTGACTTGAGAGGCTGTCGTTGCAGGCCGCCTGGCAGGTAGGCAATGCCGTCTTGTGCGACGCACGGCTGCTCGACGGCGCGGCCTACCTCCCAGGCGCTCTAGGAGGTCCTGACTTGAGAGGCTGTCGTTCCAGGCCGCCTCAGGCGTGGATACGGGGGGGATGGTCCCCCTAGATAGCCGCCCGAAAGGTAGTCAAAAAGTGCTACTTTGCCCCCTGGATCCGCCACTGAGCATACTTGCCCCTGAGCAGGTATGCAATGCCGCCGTGTTGCCGCCGTGTGCAACGCACGGCTTGCCTGAACCACCCGGACGGCGTTATAGTCGTTCCCCAGCGCCTGGCTGCTAGACCACCCGTCGAGGCGCTCGGGCCCTGGACGCAGAAGGCCGGCCGGCCGGCGGCCAAACACGGGAGGCCTTTGACGGGGACCTCGCGAGGACAAACACATTGACGTTAACGACAATGTCCATACGAGTCGCCTTTGAGACGCCATGTAAATGTCGCGGGGCGTTAGCGACTGCACCGCCACCTGGACGTGACCCCGGCGCGGCCCCCCGCCCTTGCCCCCGCCCTTGCCCCCGCCCTTGCCCCCGCCGCCCTGACCAGCCAGGCCAGAGAAAGTTATTGCCAAGGACGGCGGGTGACATCGTCCAGACGGCCGGGCCGCCGGGCCCAGCCGTATCTTCGGATTGACAGTCTGGCTGGAGCCTCCACGAGCCTCCAGGTGCCTCCAGGGTCGATACACTGCGAGCGGTTACATGCCCATCACGTCGCGGCCGCTGGAAGAAGCGCTGGAAGCCACTGGAAGCTATGGAAGAAATCGAAAGCGAGCACTCACTGTCAGACGACAAAGACATGTTGCTTTCCATCACCTTATCGCCCTTCTCCTCCTGTTTTACCACAACTTTACTCTTCAAACAGTGAAGAAAAACCACTTTAACACCTCCCTCACAGTTGACCTACCCAACGGCAAAGGTGCTCACGCTACTAAAAGATAACAACACTTTGGACGAGACTTTTTTTTCGCACTTCTCCGAGCATTGACTTTGCCGACACTCGCCAAACTCCCCCGCGCAACGCGCCGGGCGGGGCGGATCGGGGAGATGCATCGCCGTGGGAAGCGAGGCGCCAATGGCTTTCTTGGCGGGAACCCGGCGAGCTCGCTGGCGAGCGGTCCGGTCCGCCCAATGAAACGCGGCAGCGACAAAGCGCCGTGCCTTCCAGTGCCTTCGCCGTGCGTGCGATCCGCTCCCAGCGACTCGATTCCGACTGGCACTTCGTCGCTCTGTCTCTCTCGCACCCGTGCGGGATGCACCATGGAGTGTGCGAGTGCGACAGAGCGACACGATGTTCGGAATCAGCCCACAGCCTTTCACCGGCTGGATCAGTTTTGGTACCGACCGGATCAGTACCCACGGGGTGCCTCCGTTTCGGTTTCGGTGGCTCAACTCTTTTGACTAGTTCATAACAGAGCGATAAATAAGGCGGCTCAGGACCGCGCGCCAAAATTTCCGCCGCGTCACGGTCCGGCCGCCACGCCCTGCCCTGCCTCGCCCCGCCCCGCCCCGCCTCGCCTCGACCTGCCCCGCCCCGCCCCGCCTCGCCTCGACCTGCCCCGCCACGCCCCGCCGCTGCAGCTCGCCTTGGGCCAGGTCAAGAGAAGGAGCGATTCGTGGCCAAACACGCGAGGCTTCCCTTTTGGGGGGATTCCGGCCGAAACACACACTGCAACGGGTCGGGAGCACTTCTTATTGTGTTTTTTTACAAAGTTCGTTAGAATACATTTTAGGTCCACGGAAGCGATAATTTTGAAGAGCTCTCCAAGTGTCTTGCGAAGAAATATCCTACTTTTCGAAGAAAATGGCGCAATCATAGAACGGACTTTCTCTTCGTATTGCAAAGTATCTTACAATGAAAACCCTCAAAATATTCGTAATATTGAGAAATTTTTCTTGGTGTTGTCATAGCTCACATGTCACTGTAAGACATTTAAAGTGACATCAAAATTTTGTTATTTTGACTCTTGCACCTTCGTCGCTTGCCCCGCAAAATTTTGTAATTGTTCAACTGTTCAATTGTTCGGTATTTACATTCCTTTAGGTAGACGCTCTCCTATTCCCTTATTTCTCAAATGAATGTATTCTGCTTGCAGTGGCGTGAGGGTCGGCGAGGATTCCCCCGTGTCATTATGAATAATAGGGGATCCTGTTGCCAAAACGCCGCGGCCGGCCACGCTAGGCCACGCGTGCGGCGAGCAGCACGGCGGACCAGCCCGCGGGAGGGAAGGCTCCGTCTGTCCCAACGGCCTGCAACACGGGGGCGGGGTGGGGGCGGGGTGGGGGCGGGGGGCGCGGCCAGCGTCCCGAGCGCCACATTCCGAACGCGGCGTTTTGTCTCTCTCGCACCCCCACGCGACACCGCGAGAGTGCGAGAGAGACAGAGCGAAGGGCGTGCCGCGGCGTGCCGAGTGGGTCGTCGGGGCGCCATCAGCCTCGCTGCCCCGCTCTGGCCTGCAGCGGTGCAATGCGGTGATCGACTGGCCCTGTTCGTGTCAACAAACCAACACGGCTTCGCCGGCGAAGGAGTGTTTTGGGGCGGGGCGCCGGCGCGGACTCCAAGCCGGTCCGCCCGGGTCCAAGACACGCCAGGGGCCGGAGCCGCGGCCAAGCCGGCCCGGGCAACCTTGAAATTTGGAAGAAATAACAAGAAGGTGCGAAGGAGGATAAACATATAACGCAATATAAGGCGTCGTAAGTAGGCCTATGTCGACTGTTGCAAGAACAGGTAGAACAGCAACGCGGCGAACAAGGCAGGGCCGGCGGGGAAGGGGGAGGGGGAGGGGGCTCCTGCCGGAACATGCCGGCCGGGCCGCGCTGGGGCCGCACGCCCGGCTCCCGCGCACCGCGCTGCGCTGCGCTCCGCTCGCCGGGAATCGAACGCCGAACCCCAACGGACTCATTCGGGCAGCGGCTCGTCACCTTGTCTCTCGAACCCCGCGGGACGTCCCATGAGTGCGAGAGAGACCGAGCGACTCTGCGGAAGCAGCCGGCAGGGAAGTCCCGGCCTCGAGGACCGATATTTCGGCCGCCGATGATGGCAATTCGAGCACCGGGCAGGTCTCCTTGCGTGCCGCAGGGACACGCCAGCACGCGCCCAATCACGCTGCACGCTGCCCGCCAACGCCGCCAAGAACGAAGAGAAGAACACGTATGCGCCGCCCCGCCCCGCCCCACCCCGCCCCGCCCCGCCCCGCCGCGTTTCGTCACAAAGAGTAAAGTTCCAGAAAGGCGCGTCAGGTGGCGGCGTTTCCTCGGGCAGCGCAGCCAGCGTGCCGTACCGAGGAGACCGCGGAGCCGCGGAGCAGAGAGCAGCTCTCGGGGGACGGCGCACTGGCTGCGGCAGCGTGCGCGGCACGGCACGGCACGGCACGGCACGGCACGGCACGGCACGGCACTGCACTGCACTCGCGGGGCGTGAGGCGTAGAGACCTAGAGACTGACGGAGAAGCGCGGGCGCCGTCGCGCGCTGGCGGCCATTTTGTCTGGCCCGGCCCAGAGGGGAGCGGGGAGGGGACAGGGAGCGGAGCGGAGAGCGGTGCGGTAAGGTGGGGCCAGGCGGAGCGCAGCAGACAGACCGAACAGTTTTTCGGCCACAGCTCGAAAACCGTTCAAGTTAGAGTGGTACAGTAAGCGAGCCGATTGTAGCTTGTACAGAGACCTACAATTGGCTCGCTTACTATACCCGTCTATCTACAACGGTTTGGAAGCTGTGGCCGAAAAACCTTCTCCAGCCGTTAAGTGCGTGCGCCGCCATTTTGTCTGGATTATGAGACAGCTCTCCGGCCGCGCGCGGGGAGTATGAGAAATTGTTGGTGCGCTTATCGGCGCCCGCGCTTCTCCGTCAGTCTCTAGGTCTCTAGTGAGGCGGAATCGGTCTGCGGCGCGCGGCGGCGCGTGCGTCTCGTCACGTCAAGCCGCGCGGGCAGTGGCAGGCAGCAGGCAGCCGCAGGCAGCCTCGCCTCCTGGAACTCTGGAACCAGCTCTGGAAAAAGGTTGCACGCTGTTGATTCATGCTGGGCTGTGGCCTGCAGACTGATTCAGAGGGTCGTTTTCGTCGCTCTCGCTCCTATACGGCACGCCCCATCAGTGCGAGAGAGACGGAGTGACTCTCGGGATCGGGCTGCCGAGCGAAGCCAGTTCGATGGCGCGATCGACACCCCAAGGAGCAACAGCAGGCCTCGTCCAGCTCCGTCCAGCTTCGTCCAGCTTCGTCCACCTTCGTCCAGCTTCGTCCACCTTCGTCCCTCGTGTCGAGCGAAACATTGCCGCAAAACGGCAGCGGGCTGGGTGCAAAGTCCAGGCCGGTGAGGGACTGGTCCAGGAGCGGGTCCTTCATCGGCAGGGAGAGGGGAGCGTTGCACCGCGCTGCAGTCGCGGACCCCGGCTGGCCGGCTGGCCGGCTGGCCCCGAACCGCGCGCCGGCCAGGACCGCCTGGACCGCCGGGACGGCGGAGACGGGAGACGCACGCGCGGCAAGGTCGCGCGGTCGCCGCGCCGCGCCGCTCCACCCTGGGGGCAGCCTGGCCCAGCCTGGCCGCCGGCCACCACCAACTGCATTCCGCAGAATCCGCTTGCCGAAGTGATCACCGCCTTGCCTTCTCTTTACCGTCAGAGACTTTGCCGCTTTGCCGTCACCGTATGACGTCAGCCTGCGTCACCGACACCCGCCGCCGCGACGGGGGCCTCGGGGCCCCGGGGACCTCGGCATCACTCGGCATCACGTTGACCCATTTGGGCGGCCGTGACGCCGCGCCGTCGCGGAGCTGCGACGCACCGCGCACCGCGCACTGCGCACCGCCGCGTCCAAACAAGTCACTTGGAGCATTTGGCGTGGTTGACCCCCGGGGCCACCGGGCTGATGCCGAACGGTGCTTTCGGTTCCCTGTCTCTCTCGGACCTCGGCGGACAGCACCGGGAGTGCGGGAGAGACAGCGACGCAAGCGCTGTAGCGTGTAACCAAGCGGTGCCCCCACACGTCGCCTCCTCCTGCACAAACACTCTCCGAGAGAGAATGGAATGGACACGCCGTTTGTCGTCCCACGGGTTGCCTAAGCACGCCGCCTCTGGCGCCTCTGGCTGCCTCCCAGACTGTCGGGCACCTCGTTGAACGCATTCGCACCTGCCGGCGGTCGCGCGGTCGCCGCCACTGTTTACAAACAGGCGGCCGACGGCGACACGGCGAGCTCCCCGTCGTGGGCCGGCCGCGGCCGCGCAGCCGCGCCGCAGCATCACCAATCTAGTCGGGCAACTTTCTACGTGGAGGCTACTCCACTGAAAACGTCCGCCACCGCCGCGACCGGTATGTTTTACCGAGGTTTATCACGAGATCATAAGTGGATGTCCACAAGAAAAGTAATAGTCTTCGCCTTCCTCATTAGCCGTCTTGCATCACCGGATTGTTAAAGGTGCCATCCATCCATCGGCGAGGCCACGGGGCTACGGGGCCGCGTCGCGGCGGCGTGGTGGCGGCACGGCGGCAGCACCCAGGCGACGAGAGCCCATAATGTAGTATGTAACGTGAGTAACTTGAGCACGGCTCCTTGCGCAACGCACCGCTCCATGTCACAGGCAGGAAGGAAGCGTGAGTGGAGTCGATGCTCGACCCTGCGGCCCTGCGAGCACCACCGCGAGCACCGCGGAGCACTGCGCCATGCCGCCATGCCGGGGCGCGGGGCGGACCCTGCCAGGCGCGTTATCAAGCGCCAACTGTGCCCCCCCCCCCCCCCCAATCCTCCGGCCCGGCGGGAACCCTTGGCAACTTCCAGCTGGCTGGTGGACTCCACCTGCTTCGAAAAAGTAAAAGTGATCGGAAAGTTTGCATTTCAACTCCCGCCTCGCTTCGAAGAACTGCTCAACGAACGGGGAATCGCTCTCAAATGCCTGTGGTCAACCAGAATCCCCCGTGTGTGTTTGTGTGTAGAGGCCTGATGATGATGATGATTATTATTATTCGGCTTGATGTGCAGTGACATTGTCGAACGCAATCTGCGTGACCACGCGACGCACCACAGCGACGAAGTGTAGGTAAAAGAAACCAAAGAAACGCAATGAAGACAGAAAACAGAACTGGGATGCGCTGTCCGATGGGAGGCCTGCCCTCCGGGCGCTGAGTCGAATGGGATGCCTTCCAGCCGGGCGCGAGGCGAGGCGCGAGGAGGGACTGTGAAGGTACAACCAACCCACAGCGGCACGATGGAGGCCCAATTCACTTGCCAGTTAAAATATGCCCACTGTTCGTCGTGAAGAACGACTACCTCATTTCATTCGCACAAATTATGAGTGATGTTTTCCTTCATCCTTCTGTTTCTGTTTAGCCTTGCCCGTTGTTTGAGACATTTGTATTCGTCCTTCTCGCCTCTAGTTATGGGACTGTAAGCCAGAATTAATTATGACCCCGCCTCCCTGCTCGTCTCGTCCTCGTCGAAAAGTCTCGGAGAAACGAAACGCGGAAACGCAGGAAACGGCGGATGCTAGTGAATTCTCGGGCATTCCCTTTCTCCGCACCACCACACTCTCATATCTGGGTTCGCGTCGATTTCTCATATCAAGGTCTTCACCACGACACGACGAGGCGAGGAGAGCGAGACGACGACAAACGCGGGTTGTGATGTGAATCTGGTCAACTTTAGCCTTAACACCTGATGTAAGTCTTGAGTGACATTTTAAATTGAATCCAGTTTCGAATGATGGATTACTTTGTTTTTCTTTTAACACAAGAATATCTACGACTTTCTCTGATAGTCGTTTCTTAAGAAGTTCTCAAAACTTTGTTTCACTGTTTCAGTTTAAGAAAAAGTTTTTGACGTTCATGGAATTTATTAATGAGGTCTTTCAAATATCATTTATTCAAAAAAGAAACGGTTGTTACCTTTGTTTTATGGTATTGTAACCCTGCGGTCTAAATGTCTCGATGTCCGGCCAAAGTTGAGGTTATAGGTGTCCTTATAACTCATCGAAATGTTTCACTTCTTTCTTCTGTTTCCAGATTTTACAGCAAAATTACTATTCACAATGGAATCCTCATCACGTCTTTTAGTATTTTTGGGACTCTCGTTTACGGGGCTTACTGCAGCTGCTGTCTATCTTCTTCTGCGCAAAGTAATATTAACGTTTTATATCGTGATGTGGTAGACACTGGAATGTCCTGAATGTTTGTTAGTAACAAGATTGCTTTCTTTTTTATTCAGGATGAAGAAACAGGAGTGGAGGGTGGTTTAAGGACCTCGCAGAGAACTGTTATAAAAGTTCAAGTTCCTAATGAGTGTATTGGGACTGTTATTGGACGGGGTGGCTGCAATGTTAAAGCTATCCAAGAGAAAACAGGAGCTCGTATAAACTGCAGTGATGAACGTAAGAGCATCCATAACTCATTTTTGTGGTTCTATGTAGAATTTCTATTTCACTTTGGTATTTTCTACTTTTAAATCTCTTTGCAGAGGGGAATGACAAGTTTCGAGTGGTTATTATCCAGGGAACAAGAGATGCTGCTCAGCTGGCAGAGTCCATGATCCATGAAATCGTAACCAATCAACCTTTAATAATATCTCATGAAATGCTTGTACCTAGTGTAAGTTTCACAGTTTTAGAGCTGTTGGTGAAATTTTATCTTTATCGTCATGTTTGCTTTGTCCACACTGTTTATAAAATAATACAACTTTCTCTCTTTCATGTTTTTAGAGAGCTTGTGGACGAATAATTGGTAGAGGTGGTGAAACAATAAGGGGCATGACTCGTGTCTCAGGTGCCAAAATATTGGTGGATAGCACTGGTCAGAATGAACGATGTTAGTATACTAAATTTTACTCTGTCCTTCTTAGCATATCTTTGAAGTGAGGAACTGAACTGTTCTGTTTTTCTTTTGTTCTGGCAGCTGAGACAAGAATAGTTCTGAAAGGCACTTCTGAACAAATCAATTATGCCAAATCGCTTATTGAAGAAAAAGTTGCTGAGGAGGAAGACATGCGCCGCAGATTTGAAACAAGTTTTTCTAATAGATCACCAAGAAGAGAACCTAAAGATAATTACAACTATTTAGTGGCCCCTCCTGATGAGCAGGTTTGCTATTTCAATATTCTCATTTTAATGGTGAAATGTAGTGTAGCAGTCAAAAATATTTATACTTTTCTCAAACTTTTATTTCTGTCCAAAGTTTGCGTTGCAGTATATCTCTTAAACCTCTATCAGACAGAATTCTCATGTTTCAATTTGTTCATTTTTCAGGATTCACAGCCAACAGCATTCAAAAGAGCTACATTTGATTCAAGTCGCTCTGATGGCTTTTTTGATGTATTTGTATCTGCTGCAGTTGACCCACACCAGTTTTGGGTTCAGGTATGCTTTGTGATGATGTTTTCAGTGGTGAAGTTCATTGAAGCAAAATACTATCTTGTCTTACTTTCTTTCTTTGTAATAGTCTGTCAGTCCCAGGGGTGTAGAGTTGGATCAACTTGTTGATAAAATGACTGAGTATTATGGTAACCCTGAAAATCTGGAGATGCACACTCTCAAGGAGGTTGGTACTGTTTTAAAAAAAATGTTAAATGTTTCTGTTTGTTGGTTCTTGGTCCAAGGACTTACCAAAATTACCTTCTCTTTCTATAGATCAGAGTTGGGCAAATTGTTGCTGCACCCTTTGAGCATGATGACAAATGGTATAGAGCAGAAATAGTATCAATTGAAGAAGATGAATACGATCCAACTGAATCAAAAGTGACTCTTTATTATGGAGACTATGGAGATGAATGTGTAGTTAAACGCAAGCAGCTGTTTGACTTGCGCACTGATTTCTTAGGTCTCTATTTTCAAGCCATTGAGTGTGCTCTGGCCCATGTCAAGCCAATGTATGTATTTTATTTTCATATCTGCTAGTGGTAATATTTTAAAGTTTGCTTCTTATAAGTCAGAACATATTTTTCATTATGTTTTATTTTCAGTGGTGATAAATGGTCTACTGAAGCTGCAGATCTGTTTGAAGAATTAGCTGATGTAGCTCTTTGGCAAAAGAAGGTTGCCCATGTTGTGACTTATCGAGAAAGCGTCCACAAAAGAGGTCAGCGTGCTGGTAGCCCAGTGCCAGTCATCGAACTCCATGACAAGGTATGCAAAAATCTCTGCATTTATACAATCATTCTTTCAGATTTTTACCTTAAATGATTTTCATTGTGTGGTCTTTATCTGTTTAAAGAACATAAATATTGGAGAGGAGCTTGTGAAGAAGGGCTTTGCGGTCTGGGAAAGTCCATCTCCTAATGAAACCTCTGATGAAAGCAACACATCTAAACCAAACCTTATTGCTTCCTCCCAGAATGCTTCATCCTCTCAAAGACCTCAGTCGCTCAACAAAACTGTGAACAATGTTAAGCAGAGCCCCATTGTGAAAAGTCCTGATCCTCTCAAAATGTCACCATCAGAAGTGTTTGGCCCAGAGGCATCTACTTCGAATGCAAAGAGTAGCAGTTCAGACTCTTCTTCATTTTTAAAACAAGAAAGAGGCAAGAAAGCAGCTGGTGGTTTTAGACCAAAAACCCTTGAACCCTTGAAAGATTCAAAGAAGACTCAAAAGAATAGTGATCCTGTGCAAGTTGTATTTCTTCCAGAGGATTATAGTGATGACGAATCTGATGATGGTTTCACTTTAGGTTAAATTCACACTCAAGTCAACGCATGCATTTATTTATCTTGTGTCATGTACAGTGATTCCTATCATTCAATAACTGTTAGTTAAGGATTGCTGTAAGTGCAATCATGCATACATCTCATTATCTTTTGTTTCCAAGCAATTGTTATTGGGTTTGTGAACAAAATGTTTATCATATTTATTGACAGAGGACATAGTTACAGTTGCAATACCATTGAAGCGTGCTCAGAAATTTTAAATCAAAAAGTACTAGTTTTGTTTTTTATTGCATCAAGTTAACATACAATTTTGTTGTGAGTGCCAAATTATGTCTTGCCATTATGCCATAAATGACATGTAAACTTCTATTGTTAAAGAAATTTAGATGGAGGGAATCTCATAGGAGTTTTATTTTATTAATCTTAGGTAATATCTGTGATTTCTGCCTTTTTTTTTTTTTTTGGCAGTAGTAGAGCAGTAAATTAATTTCTTGCTTGGAGTATAAGCATAATTGCTTGATCGCACTGTTGTGAAGTAGAGATGTCTTCTGCCTTTCTGTCAACATTTGTATTATATAACATTAAAGTTAGGTTTCTTTTTTAGTTACAGGTATCAAATGTTCCATGCATACACTGTAATGATAACTTAGGACTACTGCTGAATCAGTTCGTGTCCAGAGAAAGATCTTTCATATACTATAGGTATTTTAAATGAATTGGGTGCTACCAGAATGCATTATTTTTCTACCATAACATTCTACTGTTAGTCTGAGAGTGAAATATAACTGTTTTCTGTTACTTTTGTGTTCTCGTGTGTGTCCCATGCTTTCCTCGAGTTCTAGATGGATTTGAAAAGAGGCGAGCAGTGTCTTTCTGAGGGACGGTGGTTTTCGTCTGGCGGCCGTTGCGACACACTGGTTCCGCAAGGCTTGGCACGGTGGCAAGGCGGCCGTTCATTTTTATACAAGCCACATTATCAAGATGAAGCATACGGCGCACACCTCGCTAGGCCCTCGCCACCTCCCCGACCGGCCTAGAGACCGGCCCGGCCGAGGGCCCGGCTGCCCAGGGATGGCCATGGCGGACGCGTCCGGACCGTCCGGACGTGGCAGGGAGCCGCTGCTGCTGCTTCTTCTTCTTCTTCTTCGTCTTCGTCTTTGATAAGAGGGTCGACGGCCGTGCGCCATGCCGTGCGATCAGCCGGCCCGCCTTTTGCGTCCAAAGTCGCAATATCCGCGGCACGGCACCTCTGGGCCGAAGCCCGAAGCACTGGACGGGCCAGGCCACGCCGCCCTCGCCGCCCTCGCCGCCCTCGCCGCCCTCGCCGCCCTCGCCGCCCTCGCCGCCCTCGCCGCCGTGTCCGTCCGCCAAGCTCTCCAACTCTCGACGGCGACGCTCCCCAGCCTTCCGGAGCCTGCCGCTCGCGGGGGCCAAGTCCTGCCGCCACCGGAGCACCCGCTTCTTCACAAAGTGCTCACAAAGAGACAGCTGGCGTCCAGCACACCGCGTGACGCGGCGCGGCACGGCACGGCACGTGTGCCTCCCGTGTCCGCACTATCAGGGCAGGCCGCGGTTTGCTTTGTCGTCGTGGGAAGCAGAGGCTGCCTCAAGCCGAGCGGATCAATGTTTGGAGAAAGATACACAGCCTGGTTCGTGCCCCGGCTGCTCCGGCCCCGGACGTGGCCGTTCTCGAGGGGGGCGGCGATTCGCTGGCAGGACCGATGCCGCATTCACTGAAGGGGTGGGTAGTCTGAAATGGGCCCTCTGCCGTAGATCGCCCCCTCCCCTTTCGCCCGTCCTGCGCCGTGCCGCGCCGTGCCGTGCCGTTCTAGCGCTGAACCGCGATGAACGTTCCCTCTGTTTGCACTTGTCGCGCCCGCCAACTCCTAGAAGATGGCGCCGCGCCTCGCCCGTGTGTGGCAAGTGCTCGGTAATTTTTGCAAACATTCCCCGGCCCGGCCGGGCCTGCCGGGCCCCAGTGGCGTGCCACTTATTTGAACAGGGGCGCGTATCTCGCACAATGGCGCATTTCAAGCGGCGAAGCAGCGAAGCAGCGCGGCTTGTTATCCTGATAACTAACCAGTCGGTTCGTTCAACCCGCCGAGGCCCGTTGGCCCGGCGCGGCGCGTGGAGCGTGTAGTCGCTCTGGCCGCCCTAGACACCCTAGAGCAGGTGACGGGGATGCGATGCGCACTTCTATCCTGGCGGGCTGACGTCAACGCGATCCGCGTGATGCGCCCAGAGCGCGCACTTCCGCACAGCATGTCGTCGCTCTGTCTCGCTCGCACCCACGCGGTGCGGGGCAGTGCGGGGCGCCCGCTAGCAGACAGCGACGATGTGCGGAATCGGTCAGGACGAACGCGCCCCTATCTGCCTTGCCTCGCGTTTATCTCTGGCGCAGAAGCAGGCCGTTTGATTGAATGTCATTTGAATGTTGTCTCGCCGCTGTCGCCGCCCTCCAAGTAGTGCGGCGAGTCGAGGCACGTCCGCACAGTGTGTCGGAGAGGCGGCCTTCCCCGGACTTGACGCTCCATGAGTGCAAGAGGGGCAGAGTGACGAAAACGACTGGCGGGGTTTCCGGGCGCGGCGTGCGCTGTGCTGCCTACCGCCAGGGCTGAGCCAGGCGGAGTCTCCGAGTCTCTCCCCCTCACTTGGCACATAGGCCCGAGGATGTAACCGCCATTCCGTCGTAATGGCCGAGGCGGCGACGCGATGCTCGCCCGACTGACCCGTCCTCGGCCGGGCCGAGGGCCGGGCCTCCAAGTACCTGTTCCTTGTTCCTGCGCCAGTACAAGCATCTGGTCAAGTACCCGGCCACGCAGGTACCAGGCACCAGTCAGGCGGGCAAGCCGCGCCGTGCCCCACTATGCGCCGCGCGGGTCGTCCAGGGTCGCCCAGGGTCGGCCTGGGCGCCGGGTCCGACCCATTGCTCCGACCTGACGAGTCGGGTCGCCTCCGCCACTCTCCTCATGGAGTCGCCATGCCTCGGAGTGGTGAGGTGGAGTAGAGCCCCCCTCCGGTCCCCTCCCCCTCTGGTCTGAGGTTGGAGGTAACGACCCGGAGGGAGTCGCTCTGGAGGTCGATGCCCCTTTGCCTGTGTGCCTCCTGGTGCCCCTGCCTCCCGATGAGTAGAGGAGGCTCCTCTTGAGGGGGCAGGACACGGCGGGGCGGGGCAGAGGGGCGACGCGGCGGGACGCGGCGGCCAGCCCTACGCGGACTCCGCGCCGCCGCCGTCCGCGGCCCCCGACGCAACGCCATGCCCGTGAGGCCGTGAGGTTTGTTAGTGATAGGATAATGCACCGCCGACGCGACGACGCGACGGTCCGGGAGGGGGGCGTCGGGGCGGCGGGGCGGCCGGGGCGGTCGGGGGCGGCGGGGGCGGCGGGGCGGTCGGGGGCGGTCGGGGGCGGCCGGGGGCGGTCGGGGGCGGCCGGGGGCGGCGGACGTGACAGGATGGCCTCCCGCTGGGCCTTCCCTCGCCGCCCCGCGTCCCCACTCCGCCGACGGCTTGCCGACGGTGTAGGCAACCCAGGCAAGGCAGCCCGACGCATGCAGCCATGCAGCCCCCTCCCACCGGCACCGCGGCACCGCCCCCCTAGGTGAGTTGCAGTGCGGTTGCCGTGCCGCGGTGCGCGGGCCGCGAGGGGGAGAGAGAGGGGGGAGGGTTGAACGGCCTGGCTGGCGCAACAGGTCAGTGTGGGAGCGAGACGGCACGACGGCAGGGCCGGCAGGGAGGACATGATGGAGGGAGGGCTCGGATCTGGTCGCCACGCGAACTCGCGTTGAGGCCTGGCGGGGCAGGTCGGAACGAGCCTGGCGAGGTTCACTTGCCTCCTCAGCAACTGCAGCAACACCTCTGAAATGAAAAGGGACAGACCCTTCGCAGCGGGGGTTCGGCACAGGCCGCTGCCACCCTCAATAGCAGGTAGCGGCACTACCGCTGCAACGACGCGACCGTCTCCAGGCTCGTTCCGAGTTCCGACCTGAGACAGACTGTAGGCACGGCAGCCACTGCAGGGCCGCGCCGTGGGCCGCGCCGTGGGCCGCGGTGCAGCCTTTTATCGATTGCAGCCCGCTAAGTGCGGCGCGCAGCCCGGCCGCCCGGCCCGAGGCCCCGGAGTGCGTCCTCCCGGACAAACTTTATGTAATGAGTGAGGTTTCTATTTCGTTCTCCCGGACTCCGGTTGGGCGCACTGGAACCAACTGGAACGGTACAACCTGCCTTGCTCCCTTTCCCTCGGCTGCAGCCTGGGCCGGAGTCCTTGAGGCCCGCTGCAGCGCGGCGTGGCGCGGCGTGGCGCTAGAACAAACCAGTCCGGTTAATCGGTAAGGGATCGTAGATCATGCACCCACTGGATTACGGGGCGGGGCGCGGGGCAGACTTATCTTCACTCGAATTACACCGCCTGCCCGCCGCGCTGCCGCCCTGCCGCCTGGCTCAAAGCCCGGCCGACCACATGGCCGGGCAGCTTAGCCGGGGGCAGCCGGGGGCCGAGCGTGCGTCGCCTTCCCTCGGACCGCTCGGCGTGCTGCGTGCTGGCGGAGGCCGACCAAAGCCTGTTTTTGGTGCCGACGACTTGGTTGACGCCTAGGCTGTAATGCGGCAGCGGTCAGTGACTCCGGGCCTGGCCCCAGTGGAGCATCTCTGTGACACGGAATCCAAAGACTTGGTTGCGTGCTGGTCACGCCCTGGCCAACGCCATCCTAGCCGTGCCCGAGCCCGTCTCGGCCCCGCGGCCGGCCAGGCCTTGGGCCAGGCTGGACTCGGCGTCGGCTTGGGCTCGGCTCGGCAGCGCAGCGGCGCAGCAGTCACAGCAAACGGGCCCGGGGCCCTGGGCTGCCCTGGCTGCCCTGGGCCAGGAGCGCGACGACGCGGCGCGGTGGTCGCGGTAGCGGCAGAGGTAGCGGCGGCTGTGTTCCGTGCCGCCCCGCCCCGCGCCCGTCCGCCGCGCCGCCGCCCCTCTCCCTTTCCTTTCTCCCCCCTCCCCTCCCCTCCCCTCCCCTCCCCCGGCCGCTCGCCGCCCCCTCCCCGCCCCGCGCATTGCCGCTGGCTTGGGCCCGGCTCGGCACCGCGGCACCGGCACACGCACACGAGCCGCCGCCGCGTCAACCCGTCCCGTGCCGTGCCGTGCCGTGCCGCGCCCTGCCGCGCCTCGCGCCCCGCGCCGTGCCGTGCTGCCGCGTCGTCCAGCAGCAGCGCTTCACCGCGCCGAGGAGCGCCGCGTGCCGCGTGGTGCCTGCCCCTGTCGGCCGCGAGTTGGTGAAGTGATTTGCAAGTGATGAGTGATTGGAGTGCTGTGCAGTGAGCCTTGTTGCTTTGTGGAATGGAGTGTCAGGGGACGTGTGTCCGCGTGGAGGACGCCGCGTCTCTCTGACAGCGCCGCCGGCCTTCCCCCGCCCCGCCGCGCCCTGCCGCGCCCCGCGCCCCGCCCACATGTGCCTGGAGAAGCCGGTGCCGCCGCCTTCCGCGCCGTCCTCACCCCGGACCTCGCGCTGACGCCTTGACGGCCAGCTGAGTCGAAAGAAGCCCACGCGCCTGCAAGTCGCGCCGTCGCCTGCTCGCCTGGAGATGATTATTTCCAAGGACTTGTTCTTGCTGGGGGACCAAGACTATCTCCGTCTCCCGAAGGAGGAGAAGAGGCCCGCCGCCATGGTGCGCCCCGCCGTCGTCAAGTCCCAAAGGTAGGCGTCTGCATGCATCCGCAGACTGCTTCCGAGAGTCGCGTCCGTTGCTCTGTCTCCCTCGCACTCAACGGGCATGCCTACAGGTGCGAGAGGGGCAGAGCGACGTAAACGAC